GAGCTCTTATCTCTTATCTGTACCTGTGCACATGCTCCGGTCTAGCCCGCAGTGAAAGGCAGGACTGGGGTCATGATAGTGGGGGGTGAGGAAGCCTCAAGGAACCAGAGGAATATTGTGTGTTCCCCTGGTTGACTCATCCCTTCCTGTGTCCCCTCTGAGTGGATGTCCATTGTCTTTGTCTACAGATGGGCTTTGGATCTCTGCTCCGACACCCCTTGTTCTCAAGAATACGGTTCTTTTGTTTTGGTTTGTTTGTTTGTTATGGGTCTTCTGATGCCTGACAAAGGACAAAGGACAATACTGGGGACACACGGTGGGGAGTCAGTCTGGTCTGAACCCCCTACAGCGGGGTGAACCAAAAAGGGAACACAACAGATCAGCAACAGGGGCAAAGCAAAGCCACAAAGCCCCTGAAGAGCCCCCCAAATAGACTTTCAGCCTTGGAGGGGCAGCTCCCAGAATTCCCCCAGCACCAGTGGGGAGATAGTCATAAAGGTCAGTGGACAGACCTGGAATTATGTGTGCTTCTTTTCTTCTTTCTTTTTTCACTCTTTTGTTTTCATTTTGTTTGGTCTATGTTTTTTGTTGGGTTACCTAGTTACAGAAGACAGGCATGGACCCAAGCTCAAGGAGAAAGCAATGGGCCCCACGGTCCTGGAGGGTCTTGGGGGTGGGGGGAGGTGGGGGAAGGGAACAGTGATCAAACAACACCATAGACAGGGGAATAACTAGGGAATTCAAATCAACAACAAGGAGGTTGCAGAAATTCTGGGGGTGTTGGAGCAACAGCAAGCTAACTAGCAGGAATTACGGAGAGGCAGAAGTAGGGTGAGCATGATGGTGGGGCAGGAGGAAGATAAAAGGAAACAGAGGAATGATCTAGGAAGCAAAGCTATGTATAGAGGTAGGTGTGTCCATATGTAAATACATTAATTCACAAAAATAGAGGCATTGGCCTCTGTACATATGTTTACATGGCAATACACTGTGGTAGTGGACAGACTTCAGGTCTCTGCTCAAGCCCTCCCTCAGTGCAAGAACACTTTGTTCTAACAAACTGGCATTCTGTGATGCTCACTCTCCCAGCACGATCGCTGAAGACAAAGCAGGTGCATAAGCAAATGTGGTGAAGAAAGCAGATGGTGCCCGGCTATCAAAAGATATAGCGCCTGGGATCCTAAAGGCTTGAAGTTAAACATGCAGCCATCCAGCAGAGAAGCATCAAAGCCCACATGGAAGAAGTCCACCAGACTGTGCAATCACGAAGTATCCTCGGGACCAGGAAACAATAATTTATAATTTATCAAGGGGTGACTAGGGGGGTTGGAGGGAGGGTAAAAAGAGGAGCTGATAGCAAGGGCTCAAAATAGAATGCAAATGTTTAGAAAATAATGATGGCAACATATGTACAAATACGTTTGATAAAATTGATGTATAGATGCTATAAGTGCTGTTAAGAACCCCCAATAAAATGATCTTAAAATATATATATATCTAGAACGGTTCATGCTGGTATGTCCAGGACTCCAAAGGTCTTACAGGGGTACACAAGAAACGTTTGCCCACTGAGCAGAGAAAAGAACTGGAATCACATAGACATCCAAATGCCTCCCCGAAACAGAAAGATTCTCAACACACAAACACACCACCCTCCAGCCCTGGAGGTACTTACACCAGCAAACCTGTTCACAATCCGGCCGGTGGGTGTTGTGTCAAAAAAGCCCATGGGGACTCGAAGGATATTGTTCAGCAGTTGCTTGTGCAGGGTGTTTGCTGCTCGGATACAACCGTAAACAGCCCCGAGATTTGCTACCAACACAAACACACCTGCAGAGACAGAAACCATTTTCATTAGCACCATGGACAGGAGTTCTTAAAGCCTTGTGCCGAGGACCTAAGGGCAAAGGTTTGCTCGAGTCCAGGCAAAGTACAAGGCTTAGGCCGTTTGGTAGAAGAGGCTGTTGCAACCGTCAGACGTACATTGTGCCAATCCCAGAGCTCCGTAGACGCCGACTCTCATGTCCCTCTGAGAGGCTGGGTAGCTGGTGCCGTTGAAGGTTTTAGAGTCATTGGTCCATGCACTGAGCCAGAGGTTAGATCCAATGTAAGCCACAGAATTCATCACATAGGAAATGAAGATGAAGAGTATCGAACACCATCCAATTGCTTGTAGGTATTTCAGGTAGATGGAGAACTTCACCTGCAAAGCCCCCACCTCAATATTAGGTGCACACCTGTGGTAAGGGAGGGCTTAGAACAACCGTCTCAAAGGGAAGTGCTGCCCCCTAGAAAAGAGGACAGTGGCGGGGAGGTGGGGCAGAAATGTGGTAGTGGACAGTCATTTCTGCACTGGGCCAGGAACATGGACCAGGACTGAAATACAGTGCAGGGACATCGCCTTCAGGTGGCCAGAGTGCTGAGAGACAATTAAGAGGGCCTTTGCATTTTGAAATGTTATTATTTTGAACCATGTGCTCAGTGGCTGGTGTATTAGTCTGTGCTGGCTGCCAGCCTCGCATCTCGGGGCAGGCTTGCTATTCTTCCCCCGCCCCGCCCCGTGAGACAGGAATCAAACATTCTGAAAGTGTGTGTGTAGGGGGGGGGGTTCTCCACAGGAAATATGCCCTTCCTCGGGGCAACAGGATTGAATGGAAAGCTCAGAGCTTCTCCTAGCATTTCAATAACGGAGTTGAAGATCCACAGAGGACATACGGCATGTCCCTCCTGTACATACGAAGGGGCTCGGAAAAGTGCATGGGGGGAAAAAAAGGAATTCGTTGATAATGGCCTGCTTCCCATGAACTTTCTGAAGCTCTTTCTGATGTGCGTCTAGCTCAGTGGTTCTCAACCTTCCTCGTGCCGCCGCCCTTTCATACAGCTCCTCACGTGGTGGTGACCCCCCAACCATAATGTTATTTTCGTTGCTACTCTCTCACGGTCATGTTGCTGCCCACAGGCTGAGAACCGCCGGACTCTGGCTTGAAACGATTTGGCTCCCGAGCCCTGAGCGCCTCTCCTGGTCCTCCTGCAAGATCCGCTTACCTTTCCAGTCTCAACGCCTTCCTTCCGAATCAGTTTCTGGCCCCTCACTGGCTGTTCGTCCTCCTTCAGCTTGGGCCTCATTTCCCGACTTTTCAAGGAGCTTCTCAGGGACTTCCGATGCCTGCCACTGGACCTGGAACTGAGCGAGGCGGAGGAGGTGGGCAGAGACAGCTTCCGTAAGCAGGGAGGGCCGGGGTGGCTTCTTGGGGGCGGTGTGTGTGTGTGTGTGTGTGTGTGTAGGCCACAATCACTGTGCCTCAAATTGCATTCCTGAGAGCACTGGGGACACTTGGTGGCATCCTAACACCCGCTCCCGCGTACAAGGAAACGATCAAAGAGCTGGCCCTGCCCCGGGCGGACGCGTGCCCAGGTGAAGGCGTGGGGAGAGTGAGAGAGGACTGTCCGGGCATGGTGAAGGGCAGCCGGGTGGCTCACAAACCGACCTGCGGTTGAACGTGCGGTGGATGCTGTTTTCTCGTTTCGCGGCCAAGGAGGCCGCCTCTTCGGGGATTTCCTCCACGCTGGGAAGCAGCCCACCGTCCTCCTCTTCCTCACTGCCGTCGTCGTTGACTAGGAGACACGTTGGGGGTGAAGGGCGAGGGCTTTGAACCGGCTCCGTCGGATTCCGTCCCCCTGCTCCTTCCATAGGGATGACTGCATCCTAGCCCCCCCAGCCCCCTAATCCCCAGCCATAACCTGCTAATGGGTGACCCCTGTGTGAACGTCCTCAGAGAAGATGAAGGAGCTACCAGGGTGACTGAGCTCTTATTTCTGTGCCCCTTGCAGCTGTTTCAACCTGTGGGGCATGACCCCTTTGGGGGTCGAAAGACCCTTTCCTAGGGGTCGCCCAATTCATACCACTAACACAATGACAGTGATGAAGTAACAACGAAAATAATTTTATGGTGGGGGGTGGTGTCGCCACAACAAGCGGAACTATATTAAAGGGTCGCAGCATGAGGAAGGTTGAGAACCACAGCTTTACAGAGACACACAGCGTGGAAAGGGCTGGGCTTTCAGCGCAAATCTAGCCCCCTCGATACTGACCGTTCACGAGGTCGATATCTGTTCCCCATTCTCACTCCCTTTGCCCCCCCCACACACACACTGTGCTAAGCCTCTTCACATACCTGTCGCTTCCTCTTCAGGACCCGTCTGATTGCTGTACTTCCTATGGTTCTTAGAAAACCCTCCGTTATTGGCCAGCAGGGTGCTGTAAGAGCCCTTCTCCAAGATAGTGCCGTTCCCCAGAACGACAATCTCATCCACTTGGGGAAGGAAGTGAATGCCGTGCGTAACCAAGAGTCGTGTCTGTAAACAAACAAAACATGAAGTTGTTTTGTCTTATCCCCACCATCTGCCCTGGCTTAGTCTAAAAGTGAAGGGGGAAAAACCCCAGCTACTTTGATATAGTCTGTGGGAGTTGGCTTCAAAATGTGAATCTATCTGCTTGGCATGTTTTCACTTCTTCTCCCACCTCCACCCTGCCCTCGGGGCCTCGGCCTACGAACCCGAGCTGATGGGTCAGACGAAATACCGTCATCTTGGGCACACTTACCCCTGCTTTCCTGTGGTGGGAATGAGGTGTGCCCCAGGCACATTCACCTTCAAGCTCCTGGGTATCAACGGTTAGCAAGGCCCAGCAATACCAAACTAAAGAACTGTCCTTTGCACTAACCAATTGAATTCATAAGAACTAACACCCCGCGCCCCCCCCCCAAAAAAAAAAAAGAGAGCGAGAAAACTAACCTGATTCTTTCAATATGTTAAAAACCTTGTGGGGAAACTTCACTTTAGCCCAGACCCTCCCTGGGGTAGAAGACATGACAGTCCTCGTACTGCGACCTATGTTCTGAATCACATGGATTGCTGAGACAGGAGCCCCATTGCAAGGCGAAGAAAACCAGTGATGATGCGCAGGTAGGAGCTGTGCGGTTGAGATGGGCCTCTGGCGAGAGAGCCCAGGTCTACTGCCTCTGTTCTCTGCTCCATGGCCCCATGGAGCCCGGTGCTGTGGTTAGGTGCCACTGTGTCCGTTCAGACCCATGGCGACACTGGGCAAACAGAAGGAAACCCTGCCCGCCCTGTCTAGCCTCACAATTGTTCCTTCGCTTGAGCTCATTGTTGCAGCTACAGTGTCAATCCATCCCCGGAGCCCCACTTCCCCTTTTTTTCCCACATAGACACAAGGTCGCTCTAATCTGGAATACCCAGAAAATAGTCAAGGGTCAGATCAAAGCTAGCCTTTGCTGACTCCTGAAAATACTCTTGGCATTGGGTGTACCTCCAGTTTCCATAATAGTTCATGTAGATCGTCATGAAAACGATTCACAATGCATGGCGTTGCTAGATTTTCTGTCCATTTTTCCATTCTGCTACATGTTCCTTGAGAGAAGGGACCAGGCATTTTCATCTACGCATGCTTGGGTTTTGTAACAAACCTGGCACAGGGTGGGTACTCAGGTGTTGAGTGAAAAAAGCCAAGACAGCTTTGGGGAAGGAAGCCAGAGCCAGGGATAGGAGGGAAAGTGAATTCTTGTTGACCGTGATCCAAGAGAGAGGCAAAGGGCTTCAGAGGGACAGTGGTCAAGGTCTTATCAGCCCTGCCATCTTCGGACTGATATCATCCAAGAAATCATGACAATCATGGGCCAGAAACCTTGAGCGTTTCACTGCCCGGTGCTAAGGGAGGTGTCTCAGCAACAGGCCCCACTTTCTCATCTCCTCCTCCCCTTCAGCCCACACGTGCCAGGACAAACATGGAACCTGCCCATGGTGAGGAACGTCTCCTCTCTGCCTGTGACCAGCCCTAGGGACGTGCTTTGGCTCCTGTGCCTGCACTACCTCACAGCAGCCTTGTGGGACTCAGCTAGAGCAATGCATGTAAGTTTTGGGGACTTAGGGGGGACTCAAAATAAACTCTGTGTTATTTTTACATTTAGGCTAAATCCCCCAATCCAGAGACTGTGTTCTCTGGTGTTTTGAGGGTTCCCGGAGCTTCTGCAGGATGACTTGTATCATACAAGCAGGGGGAGCTGTTGGGTCCCAAAGCTCTTCCAATCACCATCAGTCATCCACAGATGCTTAATGGTGAAGCCACAGAAGAAGGCTTCCATTAGCCAGGGTGGCATAAGCCACGGCCTGAAGATAGTCACGTTCATGGGATAGACTCTGGGAGACCAGTCTAATCATGGATCTTCTGAGGTGTTCCGGGTTAAGGAAGCAACGGAATTTGCTCCAGGATGACAGCTGACCGAGAAGGTGTATGTCCCCTGCCCCCATATCGTCTTCACGGTCAATGACTGACTTCTCACCTTGCCTTTCAGCAGGCCACTGGGACCCAGGACCTTGTTGAAAATATGCTTTCCTACATGGGCATCCACAGCTGACAGGGGGTCGTCCAGAATGTAGATGTCTGAATCTTGATAGGTGGCTCTGGCCAGGCTGATCCTCTGCTTCTGGCCCCCACTGAGATTGATCCCCTATAGAAGAGAATCATTTTCATCAAGCATTACTCCCTAGTCCCACCTTCATAAACCAAACCATAGTCACTGCTATTGAATCAATTCGAACTTATGGAAACCCTATAAGACAAGGTAGAACTTCCCCTGTGAGTTTCTGAGATGATATCTCTTTACCAGAGCAGAAAGCCCATCTTTCTCCCCAGGAGCGCCTGGTGGCTTTGAACTGCCGACCTTGTGACTTGTAGCCCAACGTGCTACCACTATGCCACCAGAGCTCCTCCCGACCTTCACAGAGGTTGGTCAACAGAGGTCAGAAGAGTTGCCCCAACAAGATATCAAGAGCTTTTAAAATATTACAAATGCCTTTATATAAAATCCACACCTTTCATTCAAATAAAGAACTTGATGCCCGATCATTCAAGCTGCTCCAATTTAGCACTTTCTATCATATATTATTCATTATGTTCCATCTCCCTCCCTTCATCTTCAGGGAAAGGTTGAGCTGCCTCAGTGTCCTCCGTTTCCCTGGCGCTCCAGCTGTCTCCATTGTGCCGGCACCTGACAGGTACTCAACACCTGGAAGCGGAAGCACTGAACACAATTACTCCAGAGCCGTGTCTTCTTCACGAGTCTTCCCACAGCACCCCGTCCTTCCTTGTCTCCAAAAGATCGCTGTGTCGGTTTGTTAGCGATGGAAACAAAAATGTCCTACTATGCAGTATTCAGGAAGTTATGAATGCATTTTAATATCTCCAAATATGGAACATACTATCACCATTGAGATCTATTTTAAAAACATGAATAACCTGAGAAAAGAATTCTCAATAAATCATGACTTGATTAGAGTACAGCACTAGAGCCCTCCTCTGATCCTTATTGATGGACAGAAGTACAATTTGCCCATCGAGGCTCTGGTACCTCTAGTGTAGGGTGGAGCTGCAGGCAATCTCTTTTGAGATAGAAGAGAAATCAAGAAGATGAGCAGAAGTGAGATGGAATACAAGGGTTTCCACAACATCTGGAGGTCTCCACTCACTCAATCACTCACTCACTCACTCACTCACTCACTCACTCACTCACTCACTGCTACTGAGTCAATTCTGACTCATAGTGACCCAATAGGACAGACAAGAACTGCCTGGTTGGTTTCCAAGCCTGTAACTTCTTAGCATGTATGGAGAGCCTTATCTTCCTCCCAATGGAAATTTTCAAGGAACCCATAAACAGAAACTGAAGAAACCAAGATCTTCCCTGAGAGCCAACACAGAGAGAAAGCCTTCCCCTATGGCGTCCTGACTTGACCGGCTAGCCTCTGCAGCTGGGAGAAGCCAAAATCCTGTTTGGCAAAGCCCTTCCCTGTGGCATTTCTGCGACAGCAGCACTAGATAATGAAAAGAGGTTCTACACGTCAGCCAGCTGGAATCCCATGTGCTTCTTCACCACCCCACTTTGTCTTCAATATTTCTTCACTCCTTCAAGGTTCCTTGATGCCTAAATACCTTTTCGCCAATCTCAGCCAGATCTCCTCCAGGCAGAATTTCCAAGTCTGGGAGCAGGGCACAGGCCTCCAGAACTTTCTGGTACTTCGTTTCATCCAACGTGGATCCAAAAAGAATGTTGTCCTTGATGGTCCCATTTTGGATCCACGCCTGCTGGGGGACATAGGCGATGGTGCCCTAGATGGAAAGGATGAGACCACATGAGAACTGCCCTTTCCAGAAATTCTGGGGTGGCAGGAGTGGGGAAGGGCAAATGAACCTTAGATTTGAAGAAATGTGTATTCTGTTGGCTGGTCATCTGGTAATCATAAGTGTGTTTTCTCTGCTTCTCTTTGATGCAAGTAGCAACTTGGTTTAATGACTCAAAAAAAATTCCTACACTCAACTCTCTTGTACAGCTAAAAGCCCTGGTCCAGATACCATGGAAACAACTCCTTTGTGTGAAAAAGCAATGGTAATAATTGATGGAAAAATCCACACCCTGCCTCAGAGGGATTTTTTTTTTTAAAGCAAAGCCCTTAGAGAGCTGGCACCTGGCATTCAAAGGAAGAGACAAGAGCCTTGGACCGTGATGCTGTGTAAAAATGCTCATTTGACTACTGTTCGTATTGCTATTGTTGTGACTGTCATTGTGGTTGTTTGGTTGGTGGTCTAGATACAAAACTACATCAATGTTGAGGGGTTTCTTCCACCTGCTTCCCCTTAGAACCTACTGTTTTTATGGTACAGTTTTGCAGAACCCAAGGTTTTTTTAAAAACAAACAAACACAAAATGACAGCAGAGAGAGCAATGTGTGTATTTTGCAGGGGGACTTCTCTAGTTAACAGTCGTCAAAGGTTAGTGGACATATCAGAATCACCTGAGAGTCATGAAAGATGAAGATTCCCAGGTCCTATACCCCAGAGTCTGATTCTGTAAGCTTGAGATGGGGCGGGGAACCTGAAGTTTACATGCTCACCAGATTTGTCTAAGACCTACCTCACCCAGAGAAGCTGGAGCAGTGGCTATCAGAGTCGAGTCCCTAGCGTAGCCTCCCACCTGGGAACACAGCACTGATCGTGACCCACAGCCAAGTGTCAGAAGGCTTCTCTCACCTTGATGGTGATGTGTCCTCGGACAGGCTCCATTTCTCCTAGGATGGCAGACATCAGCGAGGACTTCCCAGATCCCACGGTGCCCACCACAGCCACCAACTGGCCTGGCATGATGTCCAGGGTAACGCTGAGAGAAAGAAGGGTATTTTCAGGAGATGGGAATTTTTTAAAATCATTTTATTGGGGATTCGTACAACTCTTATCACAATCTGTACATACATCCATTGTGTCAAGCACATTTGTACACTTGTTGCCATCATCATTCTCAAAACATCTGCTTTCTGCTTGAGCCCTTGGTATCAGCTCCTCAGTTTTTTCCTCCCTCCCTCATGAACCTTTGATAATTTATCAATTATTATTTTTTCATATCCTACACTGACCAATGTCTCACTTCACCCACTTTTCCGTTGTCCGCCCTCCTAGGAGGGGATTATATGTAGATCACTGTGATCAGTTCCCCTTTCTCCCCAACCTTCCCTTTCCCCTCCTGGTATCGTTATTCTCAGTATAGGTCCTGAGGGGTTCACCTGTCCTTGATTCACTGAGAGCCTGGTACCAAGCGATTTCCCCTCATGAATAGAACCTCGGCCTTGGGTCTACAAGGCTCCTAAGTGCTTCTCAGATGCTTTTTCAGCTGTAAGCATGTGGAAAATGAGCCTAACTTCCCAGCTCATTTATCAGCTGTCTGTGCCAAATGTGGGCTTCATGTAGGAGGGTTCTCCTATCCGACCGCCAGCATGGTACCATTGTACAAATGCCCAGTTGGAAGGTGGAGACCCAGACTTTTGTACCAGCTTGTTCACTACTGAGCTGTGTGACCTTGGAAGGTCACTTCCTCTAGATCAGTGGTTCTCAACCTGTGGGTCGAGACCCCTTGGGGGGGTGTCAAATGACCCTTTCACAGGGGTCGCCTGATTCATCACGGTAGCAAAATGACAGTGAAGAAGTAGCACCGAAAATAATTTTATGGTGGGGGTCCCCACCCCATGAGGACCTGTATGAAAAGGTCTCGGCATGAGGAAGGTGGAGAACCACTGCGCTAGGTTAAGGACCTGCAATGCTAAACTAAAGGTTGAACTAGATCAATGTTTCTAAAACTTGGCTCTTCAATGGCCATCAACACTTGCTAGAAGCACAGATTCCCCGGCCCCTCCCCTTCGATGGCGCCTGGCTGGGGAGGAATCCACAGTTGGGTTTGACTCGGGAGCACTCTGTGAGCTCCCCTATGGTTGGATTCCCTAAGGTGTGGACACACAGGGAACTGGCTCACACTCCCGGTGGGCCTGCCCTTGCAGCTGAAGGACGTTCAGATCTGAGATAGTTAAGAAGAAACCCTGTCACGCATTCTCTCTGTCAAGGGAGACTTTTTGGTGGAAAGGGTTGGGAATAGGACTCCTTTCCTGACTTATCCTGGGCTGAACCCCGCCTGCCAGGCTGCAGGAGTCTAGAGCAAGGTGGAAAGCATGAGTGTTGCAGAAGGAGGATACAATGTGCTACGTTGTGAGAAAGGAAGGGCCGGCCTGCGCAGGCTCCCGGTGCGATGCCTGTGTGCTGAGCTCATGGGAGGAGCCGGAAGGAAGATGCTGTTAACGGAGTGCATAAGGGACAAGACGCCAAAGAAGGAGACCAGACTTCCTGTCCCCGAGACTGTAACCTCCGTCCCCCTTTAGGTGGGGAATTGAACTCACTCTCCTGGCTCCCTTTTCAGCCCAGCAAAACATGGGTCTATAAGTGGAACAAGAACGCGGATGAAGCATACACATCGCAGAACACCAGCCACCTGAGATCAGAAGAGCAGCATTTCCCCAAGGTCAAAGTCCAGGAGGCTTAGGAAAGAAAAGGGAAACGGAAACCGGAAACAGGGAGGAAGTGGCGTCAGTGATGTGACCTTGCGGGGGTCGCAAGGAAAGAGGCGAATCAAAATGTGTCTCCCTGGCTGACTAGGCAACTGATGAGCTGCTCCACAAACCGCCACGCGACGCACAATAAAAGCGAGCTGTAAAGTGTTTTTATAAGAGGAAACAGTGGGCAAGAGGGCTTAGGCTTCGGGCAGCACCACCTGCCAGCAGAGGAGGTGGGCCACAGGGTGGTGTGTGGGGATGGGCCAGGAAGATGCAACCCTCTAGCTGTGAAGTTGAATTCTACTGTCAGACGAGAGAAAGAAGCCAGATTTCTATGTTCCTGATTTCCACTGCTAAGCGTGTGAATGAATGTGAGTTTACTTCCGGTTCTTGTGTGCATTCTCTATTATACCCAGCACTGCAATACCTCCCTCCCAAATGCCCCATACCAGCATCTCCGTGGGTGCTTCGCTGAAGGGCAGAGTTACACAATAGGAAATCTGGGGGTTCGGGCTGCACTGTCACCTCATGGAACATATGCACATAGCTCCTTTCCTTGTATATTCTAGCATGTAGGTTTCCTTGGCACAGGACTGGCCAGGAAAGCCCTAGAACCCAACAGGATGGATGAAGGGCAACTCACTCTCGGATTGTGGTTTCCAAGTCCCGGTCCCAGGTAAAGGAGGCATCAGAAAACTGCACAGCTTTGTCTGTTGAGAAAAAGACCCCCATTGTAGTCCGATGGAAGTCCCTACATCAGGGGTCCTCAAACTTTTTAAACAGACTGTCTGTTCACTGTCCCTCAGACACGTTGGAGGGCCAGACTATAGTTTTTTTTAAAAAAAAAAAAAACTATGAACAAATTCCTATGCACACTGCACATATCTTATTTTGAAGTAAAAAGGAGTGGGGAGCGCAAAAACACCAGGAGGACTGGATAAATGTCCTTGGCGGGCCACATGTGGCCCGTGGGCCATAGTTTGAGGGCCCTTACCCTATATGTTAGTCTGCCGGTTCTTAGCGCTCTTATATCCAGCTGACCCAAGATCACCTCTCTCTTATGCTGACTCCCACGTTTTTGTTCACAGAGAATGTGAACAAAAGCCCCTGAGATGAGATCAAAGTCCTTACAAAGGTCTTCCCCCTCCCCCAGGAATTCCAAGCCTGTTAGTAACCCACATTCCTGTCCTCCGCATACTCAAGGGACATTTCTAATCCCCTGCTGCCTACTGGGATGAAGTCCAATTCTTCTAAAATACAGTCACTGGCTTCCAAACCACTGCTCCGTCTGGCTGTGGACATCTCCCGTCTTTAAAACCTTCATACCATCTGTGTTCTCTGATGCCAGGCCACCTCCCCAACTTCCCCTGCTCAGCTCCCTCTGACTACCATTTAGGAATCCTTATTCAGAATCCCTGCCTCTTCTCAGAGCAGCGGGTCCAGCTTAGTTCAGTTATCTTGCTAAGAAGTCTCCCCTCAAGGAAACTATGCTCTAAAGAGGAGCATCGTGCTGTGGCGAAGTTTGAGACACAATGTCCCAGTTCAGTTACCGGAACTGGAGTCCTGTCGAATGGCAGATGTGTCCAAGTCGTCTGCTCCCAAGTACTTCTCTAGCCGTTCTGTGGAAACACTAGCCTAAAGAGAGACACAAAAGATCTCAACCAAAATAATAATAATAATAAATAATCTTTTTTTAAAATCCAATAACAAGCACAGTAGGAAGAGGTGTCCTAGCTTTGTGTCATCAGCCTTGAGTGTGGAAGTACCGTACATACTCGAGTATAAACTGACCCGAATATCAGCTGAGGCACCTAATTTCACCCCAAAAACGGCATTAAAACTATGCTGGAAAACTCGGCTTCTACATGAGTATATATGGTAGATAGTTCATCTACCAGCTTCTCGCCCATGACTTTGTCATTTGCCTTGGCTGGACCGCCTGACACCATGACAGACTCAGCCTAGGGGCCTTCCTCCCCAGGACCAAGGGGCTATAAGATGCTCTATTTCAGCCCCTTACTCGGTGGTCCAACTCTATTGCAGCTGCTCTTTGATCTTTGGCTCCCAGCTCCTGAAACCATCTCCTGCCTTCTTCCACAACAGAATCCTAACTTCTCTCTGCTTTGGGTAAGTGGCCCCTGGATTCGCCTTCTTCCACCGAGTTTGTGGTCTAACTGATCCACTATTGGGACCTTCTGCAGGAGAGGGGACGGCTCTGTTGGGGCTCCATGGTGGCCGTGCCCCTCTCCACATAGGTCACATAGGCAACCAAACCAAACTCACTGCCACTGAGTCAATTCTGACTCCTAGCGACCCCATAAGATGGACTTGAACTGCCCTTGTGGGTTTCTGAGGCCGTAAATTCCTAAGGGCACCAACAGCCTCCTCTTTCTCCCTCAGGAGTGGTTTGTGGGTTGGAAAGCTCAAAGCTCAACATGTCACCCGCTCTGCCTCCAGGGCTCGTCCTCAGAGGCAAAGCTGAGAACGAGGGAGTTCCCAAGGAGAGCTCCCATCCACCTCCCTGTCTTCCACGAATGATGTCATGAGGCGGCTTCTTATTGCCACGTGGTTTCTGATGAACGGCTTTGGCTCCTGCCCCCTCCTTCAGGTGCAACCACCAGCTAGGATACTTCTTAGCGGCAACAGCAGCAAACTCTCAACCCGTCCTCAGCACCGGCCGGCTCCAAGTCACTTCGTAACCTGGCTCTTCTGTTTCAGTGTCGTTTCGAGGACAGGGGACTTGGGGAGCTGAAGACTTTGCTGATCTTACTTTCACTAGCGATGGAAGTAAGAAGCTGTCCGAGTCTAGAACAGGCATGTTGCTTCTGTTCCAACCAAGCCTGACATCCTTGCTTGACGCTTCCCAGGACAAGGAGACCTTTTCCTAAACCCCAGTCCTTCCTACGGCCTGCACCTCTGGGATCCAGGCAGGTCACCTGCTCTTCGACTCGTGGCCACTCTGCTTCTAGGTCACCCTACTCTCCAGATGGTCGCACAGCCTGCCCCTGGCCTGTGGACATCTGACTTATCCTACCTTACTTTTCAGGACTCAGAACCCCTCTAGCCCAGCCGTTCTCAACCTGTGGGTCGCGGCCCCTTTGGTGGTCAAACGACCCTTTCACAGGGGTGGTCGGATTCATCACAGTAGCAAAATGACAGTGATGAAGTAGCAACAAAAATAATTTTATGGCTGAGGTGTCGCCACAAGATGAGGAACTGTATGAAAGGGCATTAGGCATGAGGAAGATTGAGAACCACTGCTTTAGCCCATCCAAGGGCTTCAGAACTCTAAAACCATTTCCAGACAGCTGGAGATTCCATAGCCTGGGGCTTTCCCTGCACGCAGGTGGCTTTTCTATCTCTTTGGGCCATATTTGCAGGAAAACACTGCAAGAACCCTGGAAAGATCTCGAGAAAACTACCGCGGTGAGATAGTTTATTGTGCCAGCCTGGCTGAGAAACAACCCTGTCTAACACACTAGGCAAAGCTTCCAGGGAGCTAATCCTAATCCTTTCATGAAGTGCTTGCACACCCATTGTCTCCTTGTGAGGGAGACGGGCTTGGTGTGGCGGGGGCTCCAGGAGCTGGCGAGTTCACTCAGATAGACCATTGGTCTCCAGAGACCACCCAGCCCTCTCTAACGGCAGCAGAACCTAGAAGTGGGGTCTGATGTGTCAGTCTGGCACACGGGCTATGTCTGTCTTCGGGAATCTGGAGAGCCTACCCTGCGGGAGAAGATGCGCATTCCTACCCACCTGCAGGATGGAGGAGATGACCATGGGAAGCATGCCCAGGGGGAAGCGCAGGATGTTGAAGAGTGTGATGGAGGTGAAGGCCTTCTCTGCATCGAGAATATTGTTGCTATCCACCAGGACATAGACGGAAAATGTGGTCACGGACACCTGGAAAGAGCCGGGTCGTGAGGAATGTGTTCCTGAAAGAGGCCAAGTGGCCCTGCATTGAGTTTCAGAAGCACAGGACAGGCAGGTCCCGAGTTACGACAGCGTTCTGTTCCCCTGACTCAGTCATAAGCTGATCTGACATTAACTGGATCCTGCATTTTAAAAAATGCAAAAAACATTTTCATTATTGTTGCCTTTTATTACCAGTGCCTTTATAAATCTGACCTTTATTTGTCTTTGAGAAGCTGGAAACATTTCATCTAAATGACAAATAATGGTCCCAGGGGCCCTTTTAGGTGCCGCCACATGATATGGAGCACATATCACTAACACAAAGAAAACAACCAACCAAAAGAAAGGCACGCGCAGTTCGCCAGAACTCGAATACTTGCAAAAATGTTAACAAATCAGGGACAACCCACACGTTGCTGCTGAAGGCGTGTTGGGGCTTATCCCGCCTCTCTGTGTTACAGAGGAGAAAATGAAAGATCAGGAGAGCATCTGGTCCAAGGTCACAGATCAACTACAGGCATTGTTGGGACCAGAGCTCACCTCTCCTGGCCCCAGTTTCTGTGTTCCTCTCATCTAAGACCAGCACTCCCTCCCCAGGAAGACACGTTCTCTTCTGCAGAGGACTCCTGGAGACCACATTCAAGCTGAACCTTCTGAGCACTTCCGCTGAGTTTCTAGACCTTTGAGCAGCAAGGAAGGGTGAAACTCAAGTTGGGGACGGGCCGCAAGGTCCCAAGAGCAGCATGGTGAGTTGAGGGAGAAGGCGGAGCTCCTTGAACTTCTGAGGCCGGCCTAGCACAGCTGGACCATCTACATGGACCTTGCTTTCCAGGCGGCTTGCCCAAGTACAAGAGTAGAGACAACCCCCAGGCTCCCCTGTCACTCACCAGGACTGGGGTTAAGTACAAGATGAACATCATCACAGACTGGAGTTTAGCAAAGTTCAGCATGTTTTTGAGCTCTTTCTTCCTCAGGCTGTGGACTTGACTTTTGAATGAAGGCTCCCAGGCAAAGTATTTTAGGATCTAAGAGGTTAGAAAAGAGAACTACTCACACAACTGCCTTCAAAAGCCTCCAGGGACATCCCATCCGTTTCTGTTTTAGAACAAAAACCAAAAACCAAACTCACTGCCATTGAGTCAATTCTGACTCTGTGTTAGAATACACTTTCCCAGATCTGGGCAGGTGGAAAGCCAGATTATGAAGTATAATTTCAGAAAAGTAGCTTGTGTTTGTGGATAGCCAGCCCCAAGATTTTTAATACATATTATCTCACTTAATCTTTTTAACAAGTTTAGTGTGACCAAGTGTTCCAGTTTGCCCCCTGAGCAAACCAGGACAAGAGTCACCCTACACATTATCTCCTTTGTCCCAAGAGAATAACTTGGTAACTGAGCTGGCAAGTGGTAGAACTGGGGCTGAAAATGGGGTCTACCTTTGAACTTTGCCATATTAGCAGAAAGTCTTTTGAAAACTCTTCGTGGGGACCATCAGGTCCTGCCTGTCCTTCCTTGAAAAGGAAGCTCCCTGATGGTTCCCACAAAGGACCATCAGGGTCCCCACAAAGAAGCATCAGGATGCTAAAGGCATCCCTGTCCTTCCTTTCCAAGAAATGCAGGGCAATATTACAATCCATGAAAACTAGAAATCACACACACACACACACACACACACACCAGAGTGTGTTGGCCACCTATGTAGGAGAAGTACATTATTTTGAAAGCCGGTAAATAGAAGATAATAGGCAGACTTTTTTTTCTGCCTATTTTGTCATTTTCTTTATAGAATTCCAGCAAATAAAGGCCAATGGAGTAACAGAACCAGAACGTCACTATTTTGTAACACCTGTTGAAATAAGGGGGCGGTCATCAGAGGCTGCTAAGACTTTGACAGCAGTGATTTTTAACCCTGGTTTCACATAAGAATCCCGTAACAAGCCAACAAGCGAACTCACTGCCATTGAATTAATGCTGACTCATCACAACCCTATAGGACAGGGCTGCGAGTTTCTGGGACTATAACTCTTTCAGAGAATAGAAAGCCTCATCATTCTCCCTTGGAGCTGGCTGATGGTTTCAAACTGCTGACCTTGCGGTTATCAGCCTAACTCCGAACCACTACACCACCAGATCTCCCTTGGAATCATCTAAGGAGCTGTTCAAAATATGTGGTTAAATATATATACCTGAGTCCCCCTCTCTGAGTCTCATTTAATTGGTTTGAGGTAGGGCCCAACCTTCCCAGGTGATTTTAATGTGCTGACAGGGTTACAAACCACTGCTCTAGGTGAACAAATGGTGGGGACCTTTATAACCTATGAATCAGCTGACAAGACCTGGACCCACTGCTTCATTACCATCACTAACATCTGGAAATATCCAGCCCCACGGAAAGCATTACTACCCTGTCACTTACCCTAAAACACACTACCCCTAACACACACACACTAAAATCTACATCTGATCAAGCCTCTGGATCTATCAATTTACGGAAATACAGAAAAAAAGCAAATAGCCTGGTTTCACCAATAAGTGACAAAAGAAAGGGAAGGTGAGATTGTTGTAAGTTAAATAAATCCACTGACATTGAGGCGATTCCAACTCACTGTAACTCTATGGGACACAGAACTGCTTCACAGGTGTCCTGGGGCTGTAATTTCTCTACGGGAGCAGCCAATCTCATCTTTCTCCCAAGAGGTGGTTGGTGGGTTGGAACTACCAACCTTTTGATTAGCAGTGCAGACTAACCCACAATGCCATCAAGGCTCCTTTGTACGTTTAAAACATTATCCATTAAATACCATGTGTGGATATTTGTTGGGTCCTTATTAAAACAGATCAATAGTTTAAGAATTATGAGACATTTGGGGGACATTCAACAGTATCAAAGAATGAAACAACTGTTCATTTTTTACAATTGTTAATTGATAATTATGATATAATTGTTTACTTTTTTAGGTGTGATACTGGTCTCATAGTTATGCTTTTAAAAAGGAAATCCTTTCTGAGATTGTAAAGAATTTACAAATGAAATGCCAACGTGTCTAAGATTTGTTTTAAAATAATATAGCAGACCATGAGGTGGGGAGTGGAGACATAGTTGAAGTGAGATAGGTCATGTTGATGATTGCTCAAACTGGACGATCCTTACTTTTCTGTTTGTTTGGAAGTTTCTACACCAAATGGTTAAAAACAAAATGAGAAACTTTCAAGATAAATAAAAATTTAAGGTTAAAAATAGGGCATGAGAAACTTGGGTTAAGGGAGACAGCAAACAGGGTAAGATATGAAAATAATAATAATTTTTAATTTGCCAAGGGTTCACAACGATATCAGGGTGGGGGAGGGAAGAGTAAAAAGAGGAGCTGATACCAAGAGCTCAAGTAGAAAGAAAATGTTTTGGAAATGATGATGGCAACATATGTACAAATGCACTTGACACAATCTATGTATGGATTGTTATGAGCCCCCAATAAAATTATGTATTTAAAAAAAAGGGTATGGGGTGTGGGAAAAATCATAGACTATGAAACAAGTGGTTGGGACTCAGGAGTCATCTGACATTCACTAGGACCGAAGCACCAAGCGACACCTCTCTCAAGGGTATGTGAAGGTCACAAAATCCCTTCCTATTGTCGTTGCAAGAGAGCAACCTACACTGTGGCCTTTTTACCTTGATCCCGCTGAGAATTTCATTCATAATCTTTAAACGCTTGTCTTTATTCTTCATATTTTTCACCTGCCAGGAAAAAAGTAAAATAAAAACAGAGCAAAATGAAAACTCGCAGCCATCAAATCGATGCCGACTCATGGCGACACAACAGGATGGGATAGAACTGCCCCAGTGAGTTTCCAAGACTGTCTCTATGGGAGTAGAAAACCCCATCTTTCTCCCGCAGAGTGGCTGGTGACTTCGAACTGCTGACCTTGTGGTTAGTAGCCTAGTTGTGTAACCACTAAGCCACCAGGGCTTCTTTGAGGTGCCCAGTGAGGGGATATTCATCTCTACCTGTTCCTGTTTGCCCACTCCACTCCTGCCAACCTGGTTTTCTTTCTGATTCTCTAGCTCATTTCTGCCCTCACAACCTTTGCCAGGCTGCCAGGTTGTTCTTCCTTTACCTTTCTCAATCTTGTTCCTTCCCATTAGGCTCGTGTCATTAAATGACCACCCCTTACAAGTTCCCTCCTGACTGACACCATCTCAGACCTTCCAAGAAAATAACCACCCACCCACTCACTAGCACATCACCCTAGTTTCGTTCTCTGCAGAGTACTTACCATGATCTGATCTTGTTCTTATTTAATTCTCTTTGTTTATTGCCTGCCTCTCCATCATCCAGGTAGAATGTAATCACTCTGGGAGTAGGACTATCTGTCTAACTTGTTGCTGTATTCCCAGAATAGTAAGATAGACACTAAATATTTTCAAATAAATGTTTGTAAGATGAAGGGATGAAGAATTCCTATACTCACACCAACAAGTTCCCCCACCCAACCACTCATTCCTGACAGAGTTAAGGAACCCGATGGAGCTGTCCGAGTGGGTGTAGCAAGAGGGATTGCTAGAATTTAGGCTTAAAGGCTTCATCACTCATGTGACTGCTCCATTTAGTTGTTTTTTATTGCTAAGAGCAACAGGAAAGGAGCCAAATAATTGTCTCGAGGAGAGCCTGGCAGAGCGGAGTGGAAGAATTATGAGCGAAGACTCTGGGATAGCCCTTCCCTCTCCAAGCAGGTTCTGTCCTCTAACAGGAAGAAGGAGAGACCAGATAAACCCTAAGAATGATCGGAAGATAGAAAAAGTCAAGATCATTGGGAAAAGTAGAAAGTCCTCAACCCCCTTGACCTTGCTCAAGCTCCCAGAAAGAGTTAGAGCAGAGTGAGCAAGAGTGGATACATGGGAGACGGCATAGATGCCCAGCGCGGCTGGTTGTCCTTACCTGAATTTTTCTGTTCTTGGTGGCTAAGATCCCATTAATTGGGATGAGAAGCACCATCACTCCAACACCTGCAAAGACGGAGGGTCCCAGTTCTCTCCAGAGGAAGTAGATCGATAAAATAATCTGCAGTGGGCAGGACCACAGCAAGTGGATGAAGGTGGCCACGTCCATGAGCTTCTGGCCATCCACAGACATCAGGTTTACTGTCTCTCCGACGGTGTACTGCCTCTTGGCCAGGTTGGAGAGGGTCAGTGCCTAAACATCAAGATTAGAAATGGGTCCCAGTTGCAAAGTCAAGGACATTGGGGTGGGGGTGGGGGGCGAAGGGCGCTCGGGAAGTGAGCACAGAATACATCGGGGGCTCGGAGGCACATGACTTCTCCGAGGGATCGTGCCTTTGGTCTCGCTTCCAACCCGCTCACAGTGGTCTGTCATCCGCGATCACTCTTTCTCCCTCTTCCCACCTTCCCTTATCCTCTTCTCTCCATGCTGTTCTGCTGGCTTGGAAGACTCCCTGGTCACCCTGTAGGTGTCCGTTGAGCTGGCACGTCGGAGAAGCCTGCCTTGACTCAATTCTCTGCATTACATAACGCCCTGCGCTTATCTCCCAATGAGATGGATTACGTTGAATGATGATGGTTGTATTTCTATTTCTCTATCCGATGTGAACCCCGTGATCCCCTGACAGAATCAGAGCATGTGGCAGCGAGGAGACGATCAAATATTGATGCCAAGAAGGAAGGAGAGGAGGTGGTGAGGAAGGAACAGAAGGAGGAAAGAAGAGAGGAGCAGGGAGGGAAGAAAAATGGAAGGGAAAAAAGAGGCTTCTGATGGTGGCCCCATTAGTCAGAGGCAGATACTGGTGTAGGAATCAAAAGCATGCCCAACCAGGACAGAGGTCGTGAAACGGAAGAAGAAAGCTGCCGGACTCACCCTGTGGACCTGTCTATTGTTAGTCATTTGGTGCCAATATCCATCCATCCATCCATCCATCCATCCATCCATCCATCCATCCATCCATCCATCCATAGACGCTCCTGTTTTCCTGTGAGAGCGCTCAGAGGCTGGTATCCACAGACCCATCACTTACAAGGATGCCCTGCCCAAGTGCACTCCACTGTGGGTTCGGGGCAGCCAGAGTCAATGAGAGTGAAGACAGTCGAAGAGGCATGGAAACTTAAAGGATCATCATAAATCTGCAGAACGCCGCGCAACACAGATGCAGCTAGAGGACATCACGTTGTGGGCAATAAGTCAAGCACAGAAGGATAAATGTGTTATGAGACCCTTCGTGTAAAAAGTCAAGCCAAGGTTTGTATAGAAAGAATCACTGTGCAGGTGACCGTGGGGGTGGGGGAGGAGGAGGGAGGAGATTCACTGACACAAGACTAGACATGCATGCACCTGAGGGAAAGGAAAGTCCCTGTACAATTCGGGGTGGGGGGGGGGGCGTCGGCACAAAGGGACCAAGACAACGCAGACACTGGGAGGAAAACAAAAGTGAAAGACACAAACATAAAGCACAGTCACTGCTATAATCCTGCCACGGCACGAACGGTGATCATCCCCATGTGGATACGTTGGTAGACACTCAAGCTTAGCAGGGGGAGGAAGGGGGTGGAAGCAGGGGGTGGAATGGAGCCACAGCCAGCTTTGACTGGGAATATTCCCTCGTATGTTCTTCTGTGTCCTGCAAATATATCCATAAATATAGCGGAACACACAGAGCAAAGTCACACACAAAAACCATTCAGGCATAATCAAACCATTGTAAGGAATGAGTTGCTGGGCCTGCGGACTCATGTCCATTCTTTGGAGGGACATCAAGGTCAATTGGAAAAACATAATCCACAAGGACAGTCTTCTACATCCTATTTTGGTGAGTAGCATCGGGGAGGGGGTCTTAAAAGCTTGTGAGTGGCCACCTAAGGAGAAAGAAAGTATTGGCGTCTCCCCATCAGAAGCAAAGAGGAGTGAAGACCATTGAAGAACCATGGGAACAATTCATCTAAAGACACTGGACCATAGGAGCTCCAGCCACCACCGCCTCGAAGCTCGAAGGACTAGACTAGAGCGTGCCCATCTACCACTGCCTCGCCACTCTGAAAGGGGGCCCTTGACAGAATGGGAGAAAATGAGGAACAACACTCATTAACGATAAAAGACCAGTCTTACTGCTTGGCTAGAGTCTGATGGAATCCCTGAGACTATGCCCCTCAGTTAACCTTTAACTCTTAATCACTTTATTGGAGGGCTCTTATAAATCGTATGACCATCCATCATTCAATTGTATTACGCTCATTTGTACTTATGTTGCCATCAACATTCCCAAACCATTTTCTTTCTACTTGAGCCCTTGGTATCAGCTCCTCTTTTTCCCCCTCCCTCCCCCACCTCCCACCCTCTTGAATCCTTGATCAATTATATATCATTATTGTTGTTTCGTGTCTTACACTGTCCGTTGTCTCCCTTCACCCACATTTCTGTTATTTGTGCCCTGGGGGGCAGGGCTATATATTCAACCTTGTGAAGGTTCCCCCTTTCTCACGATATCGCTACTCCCACTACTTTTCCTGAGGGTTTTATCTTTCCTGAGTCCCATGTGACCAGAGCTCTTATCTGTACCAATGTGTGTACTCTGGTCTAGCAGGATTTGGAAAGTAGAACTGGGTCATGGTAGTGGTTGGGGGGTTGGGAGGGGTAAGCATTCAGGAACTGGAGGAATGATGTGTGTGTTGCCAGTGCTATACTGCACCCTGATTGAATCATCCCTTCCTGTAACCCTTCTGGTGGTGGGGGAGGAGGGTGTCCAATTATCTACAGATGGGCTTTGGGTCTCCACTCCAACCCCTCTTTCACATCGATATAATTGATTGTTTGGGATCTTTTGATGCCTTTTTTTTACCCTTATCTCTTTAAGCCACTCCCAAGGTCTAACTTTCAGCCAAAGGATAGATAGGCCTGAGAGGTGAACACCACGGGGTGGGGGTGGGGGGGTACTTGGAGGAGAACCAGTCATCCAAGAACAAAGGTCGATGTTTCCGCAGGGATAAAGTTCAGAGGGTAGGAAAGAAATGGTCAACACGGGGAGGAAGTGGGATAAGTGCTGCCGCATTGTGAGGATTGCAATCAATGTCGCAGATTTAAATGTGTAGATTTGTCAAATGGAAAACCAATAGGTGCTGCAGGTTTTCTCCCAAATCAGAAGAGGGAAACAAATTAAATATATAGTGGGGATATAACAGAATTGAAAGCAGAAACTCAAACAGATATGTGTATACCAATGACCATGTAGCATTATTTGCAACAGATCCCAAATGAAAACAACTCAAGCATCTATCAATAGAAACAAATTTTTTGAAATATGGCATACAACAAACCTAAGGACAAAGGAACAACAAGAGTTCTAAAGTTGATGTCGAGGAGGGTGTAGAACGCCTGGTGGGGTTTGATCAAGTGCAGTGTAGCCAAGAGGAATTACTGAGAAGCGAATGAAGGTCGAACATGATAGTGGGACAGGAGGAAAGTAAAAAGAAATAGAGGAAAGAACTAAGAGGCAAAAGACATTTATAGAGGTATAAACATAGGCATGTACATATGTAACTATATTAATACATAATGATAAGGCTATAGGTCCTTGTACATATATTTATAGGTTAAGCATTAAGGTAGCAGATGGACATTGGGTCTCTACTCAAGTCCTCCCTCAACACAAAAATACTTTGTTCTAATAACCTGGCATTCTGTGATGCTCACCTTCCTGACATGATTACTGAAGACAAAAAGTGTGCATAAGCTAATGTGGTGAAGAAGCTGATGGTGCCTGGCTATTACAAGATACAGTGTCTGGGGCCTTAAAGGCCTTAAGTTAAACAAGCTGCCATCAATCAGGGAAGCAACAAAACCCACATAGAAGAAACACACCAACCTGTGTGATCACGAGGTGTCAATGGGATCAGGTATTAGACATCAGAAGACCCAAAACAACAACCATTTCGATATGAACAAGGGAGAGTGGTCAGAATGGAGACCCAAAGTCCATCTGCAGACAATTGGACATCCCCTCACAGAAGGGTCACAAGAAAGGAACGAGCCAGCCAGAGTGCAGTATAGCACCGATGAAATACACAACATTACTCTAGTTCTTTAATTCACCCCACCCCAACCCTGCCAAATATCATGACCCCAGTTCTATCTTAAAAATCTGGCTAGACTAGAGCATGTACACTGGTACAGATAAAAGCTCTCAACACACAGAATCTAGGACAGATGAGCCCCTCAGGACCAATAATGAGAGTAGTGATACCATGAGGACAGGGTGAAGGTGGGGAGAGATGGGGGAGAAAGGGGGAACAGTCGCAATGGTCGACATACAACCCCTCCGCGCCTGCCTCACCCCACTGCTCCCGTTGGGGACGAACAACAGGAATGTGGGTGAAGGGAGACAGCAGACGATGTAAAATATGAAATATAAATAATTTATAAATCATCAAGGGTTCACGAGGGTGGGAGGTGGGGGAGGAAAGGGAAAAAAGAGGAGCTGATACCAAGGGCTCAAGTAGAAAGAAAATGTTTTAGAAATGAAGATGGCAACATATGTACAGTTGTGCTTGATACAATTGATGTGTGGATTGTTATCAGAGCTGTAAGATCCCCCAATAAGATGATTTATTTTTTAATCATTTTATTGGGGTTCATACAATACATAGAACAATTGTGTAAAGCACACCTATACATTTGTTGCCCTCGTCATTCCCAAAATTCGCTTTCCTCTTGAGTTCCGGGGGGAAAAAAAGATTTATTAAAATTTAAGAAAAATAAAACAAATGAAGCCAAGTGTTAACAGATCAATCTATATGAAGAGTATACTAGAGTGGTTATTACTATTCTTGCAACATTTCTGTAAATGTATTAAACAAAGGCATTGGCAGGAAGCCCTCATGAAACAGTAAGGGGAAAGCAAGAAGGAAAAAAGAAGGATGTGTTAGAGTGAAGATGTGTCCAATTATCTTAGAGGCATGGATAAACTTGCAAGTCCACGGAACTCAGCGAGTGAATATACTCGTACTGACAGATCTAAAAGAAGGCAGGCAGAAGAGGAGCTGGTAAGCCAGCAGTCAGGACACAAATGCTGTCCTGGGGAAACGGAGCCCCGCCTCTCCGAGCATGCTCAGAGCCACTGGCCAGACCGTATTCCTACCAACATGGATGCACCAAGCTGCCTTCAAGTGCTGACCTTTGACCATCTTTTCCTCGCTGACTTGATACTCTTTCCCAAGGTATTCCCATCTTGTGGAGAAAGGTAGGGAAAGGATGGGAGGGGCCTTCAAGGCTGGTCAGTAGGGCGGGAGAGCTGGCCAGCTCGCCAGCTTTTCTCAGGAGTTCAGCCCCACCCCCCATCCCCACGCCATGTCTCTGAAAACACTTTTTACCTTTTCATTTCCAAAGCAACATCTTTTAACAAAAACAACTGACCCAAAGCAAAGACTCATCCATTGTCATTATACTTGATAGCATTACAATCATTATCATGACATCATATCAGTACAATGATTTCCCCTCAATCTTGGCATACTTCAAGGAGCTGTCTCCTTGGTGATACCTGGTGTGTTTTGCTTACCTTCTTGTACACAGAAGCCATGACCGTTGTCCGTACAGTCATGCCCAACATGAAGCATAACTGAAAATAGCTCTGAAGGCACACGGACTGGAGGAGAGCCACGGCGAAGAAGAGGATGGAGTAGATATAACCGGTCCACATGTACGCGTCCTGATCATTTGCAAAGGAGATGAGTATTCTGCCGGAGCAAAATCAAGCAAGTGATGCTCGAGAGGCCTCTGAGGGCTCCTCCCCTTCTTGTGTGCAGCTAGGTCATCTTCCCTGCCTGTGCCCATGTAACCTGTGGCATCAATGTGGCCAACTCTCTTTGGGAAATCTGAGCTCCTCACTCTTGCCTTGCTGTACCTGCCTGGGACAGTATGCTTGGTTCCCTGGCGTTTGCTTGGAGGGGAGTGGCAAGAGCACAGCGTGATGACTCGCGGCCATGAGAAGAAGGAAGTGCTCCCAGTGACTGCCACTACAGTGCTGTGGCCCCTCACTTTGGTATATGAACTCTATGGGTGGGTGTGGGGGACCAGCCAATTGGTTTGTGGATAACAAAAGCCTGAAAAGGAATTAAGATGTGTTTTCATAAGTTGGAAGGACTTCCTCCCGGTGGTCCATCCCATTGCCGCCAAAGGATTCCTAAGTCTTATCAAGATTAACCTGAACTTCCATGGACTTTGGGGGGCGTGGGGGGGCGATAAGGTTCCAGATACTATGTTCAAAGGCTCTACTGGGATATGCTGCCCTACCTCTTGGACATAGCTCAGTCTATCGAAATGTCATGTCCCAGTAACGAGCTCCCAACAAAATCTCTGAGTTTCTAGGAGGGCAGGAAAGAGACGAGAGAAGCCAAAGTCTAACATCATCTTAAATCTTTAAAACTGCCTTGCGCGTTTCACAATGACAATGCTGTAAGGCGGAGGAAAACCATGAGCATCTTCGAATGGAAATTGGAAAAGTAGCTCCTGTCTGCATCCACAAAGATCAAAAAAAGGAGTGGGGTGGGGCAAGCAGGAGGGGGAGGAGAGGGGAGAGGGAGGACCCAGAAGACCTGGTGACTCACTTCAGCAGCTGAGGATTCAGAAATGCAAGGATGTCATACATTAGCTTCAATAGAAACGATTTCAGGAGTTCCAGGTAGAAGGTTTTGAAGAGGCTCTTGATCAACCAGGACTTGGGAAAATCTTTGGTGCCCCCAGACTCCTCTTTTTTTTTCTTTTTAGTTTCTTCCTAGAGATAAAACCAAACAACACAACACACAGAGTTCCGTAGCGTGAGACTCCTCCTGCAGGATACGGTTTCAGAGCGGTGAGCCTCTGGACCCCCTCGCTCCCGTGGTCCGGCGTTTGCTCTCTTTAACACTGCCCAGCTGCCAGTTCACTCTTAGAGGTGCCACCGCCAGTCTCCTCTCTCCTAACGGACCCTTGGGATCGATTTTGGATTAGACAACTCAACTGGCGAGACTGGCACACAAAAGCGAAGAGTAGACTCCGTAGCTCGGGAAAAAGAGGAGACTTTCTACACTCGTAAAGGTAGTCTTGAAACCCTATAGGAGCAATTCTACCCATCCTGTAGGGTCTCTGTGAGTCAGAGTCAACTCAAGGGCCATGGATTTGGGGTTGTTTAGACTGAGTAGGCAGCTGAGGGCAGTCTTGCGAGTGACAGGCACGGCCGTGGTGACGTCAATGTTAGATGCTCACCCCTTGAAAACTCACGGCTGTCAAGTGGGTTCAGACTCACAGAGACCCTAGGATAGAGCAGAACTGGCCCATGTCATTTTCCAGGCGGCCATCCTTCTGGAAGCAGACTGCCCGTCTTTTTCCCGTGGAGCCATCGGCAGGTTAGAGTCTGAGTGCTTAATTACTGTGCCACTAGGTCTCGTGTGCAAAGCAACCTTTTGGCTGTGGTTGTTTTCCTGCTTGTGACTGTTGAGGGAGCTTTTCCACTCACTCGTCTTCCTCTATTTTGACCTCATTACACGCTCCAGAGTCCCATCAGGGCCCCACATTTTAGCTCCTGAGTGACCCCTCTTTGCCATTTCTCCACTAGTGTCCAGTCTGGACTTTAATCTGTCTTTCTCACCTGGAAGACTGCCCCAGCCCAACCGCCTCTCACCTGCACCTCACCTCACACTCATCCATTTTCTAGACAGCCGTCTAAGCACGTGCTTTTGCTTATTGTTCTCGGTGAGCGATTTTATTAGTCATTGTTAGTGCCCTAGATTTCTGATATCTGGGCCACTTATTGATGTCTGTCTTTTCTTTTTTTAGTTTAGGAGTCTTTAACAAATATAATCAGATCACAATACTCCTCTGCCCTAAACCTTCCACTCTCTCTCCATCAGATTTAAAGTCCAGCCTCCTCACCGCTGTGGACCATACCCGTCTACGCACCATAGCTCCTGCCTACCTTGCTCATCTTATCCGGTCTCATGCCGCACTCCCCCTCTCTCCCGAGGCTCCCGGGCCTCCTTCCAATTGTCTGAAAGAACCGACTTGGTTCCCTGCTCAGCCTCACCCTCCTGTACCCCTGATGAGAAGACGCTCCCTCTGACTGTCCTACTGGCGGACTTTCCTCACATTGGGGTCAAATGCCGCCTCTGCTGAGAAGTCCCCCCGATGACCCTATTAAACATTTCACGCCACTAACACTGCATTTATTTTCTGAGTAGCATGTATCTACCTAGAGCTCTCCTAGCGATCGTCATGAGAGTAACACAGGTCAGGTTTATTGTGCATTTTCTGGCTCTCTAAGGTTGACGATCCTTCCAATCTTGTTCCTGGGACCCAGTGTCCAGAAGGGTCTCTGGTCCACATGGTGATCAAAACATCATTTTGAGAGGATAAACAATTTAGGAGCTAACGCTAAATCCCACCAAGGGGCAGACTCTGCAGAACGATTGGCATACATTCTCCTATGGTACATGCTAAGGTGCTATGTATCCTTTTCATGGAAAAATAAATAAGTAAAGTGTTATGGGAAATGTCCAATGCACCCACAAGGAGAAAGACAAGCACAATCTACTCCCTTCCCTTCCGTCCATGACTAAGGTACTACGAAGACTGTGATGGTCAATGCCGGGACAAGTCTGGAGTGCTGTAAAAACGGAAAGACACCACCTCCGATGACACTGAGCCAAAGCAGCACAATCACACAGGGGCTTAAGGGACAGTTACCAGGACGAGGACATCTTGGCTTTGACTCTGGTGCTTGTTCAAGCCATGCAGCTTGGCTTCTGGCTTCTTCTGGGAGAACTTCTGCCTCCGTCGCTGGAATGCCTCCCTGGCCTTCCGCAGGTTGCCCATGGAGCACGCTTCAAACTTGCTGACTAGGACCTTGGCTTTAATACTATCGTCGACATCCCAGACATCGTCAAGTGTCAGAGGTTCCTTGTAGCCTTTCAGAATGACGCTGGAACAAAAGTGATCCACAAGCTGGGACCCTCCAGCCTGGACCAGAGAGCTGGCTCTTCCCCATCTCTACGTAAACATGTCTGGGTCCTAATCTGGGGTGAAGGGACAAGGGATGGGATTTCTCACTTCCTCCAGCCCCCACCCCCTGCCCCTTTAAATTTGAGAAAGGATTAGGGAGAGGAGAAAAGGAAGTGAGGAGAGGTGACCAAGGTGGAAAAGACCAGAAGGGAAGGAGAAGGGACAAGACCAAATTAAGGGTCAAAAGATCACCACACCCTCTCCTCCTGCCTTTTCCTCCTCTCACGCTGGCTGCCTCTCTGCCGCTCAGGCATCTGTGGGAAGTGCTCCTATGATGGGCTTAAGAAGTGGAGTAGACCTGGTGTCTGCCTGCACACTGTCTCTCCAGATCAGGGAAACATAAGTTGCACGATTATTTTAATGAATTTCTAACTGGATTTTAGCCTTGCTAATATGAATGCAGGCACTCAACCACCTTGCCTGTCCCCGGGTCATCCCCTTTCCCAGCCTACTGCCTCCTTTCTTTACTTCTGTGGAACCCCAGACTGCCAAGTGTAAATCCCTCTTCATCCCCTCTTCAGCATCCCACCTGTCCAACGCAGGGGCTAAGCTAAGTTGACCTCTAGTGTTCTGTGATGCGAACTAAGTGGAGGAGAAATTGAGGCCACAGGAGGATTTGTTTGGTTGGTTTTTGAAAATGATGCTTTTCATCATTTACAGAAGCGTGAGGTGGGGCAGGGTCTAGACAACCTAGCCATTTCCTACCTGTCATACCAACTAAAGGAAATACTACTCAGAAATGAAGCCGTGGTTGATGGATTCTGCAAGACACACAAAAAATTAGAAAGTAAATCAATTGGAAATGGAAACGCTGTGGGACTCTAAAAATCAGAGACTGGTTGGGCTAGATAGGAGGTGGTAGAAGCTAGCTATGATGTTGAAGTCGGTTGGTCAACAGACATTTAATTGGGAGCTATCAGGTCAGCCAACCAAAGCCAAAACCAAACCCAAACCCGAGCAACTGTCAACTCAATGTGACTCGGGGCGACCCCATGTGTTGCTCAGGTCACTAGTGGAATGATAATATGATTTGCTGGCATAGATGTATGAATCAATTGGTCCTGTTGAAGATGGGTAGGTCAATGGCAAAGTTGTTATATTTACCCTCCTATTTCCTATTAAGTAATCTGTGCCACCTGATGCCAGGCTCCGTGAGACCGAGGCATTTCAAAGTGTGAGTTGTCCAGAGACCACTGAATTAAGTATGATACTAGGCGAGCATATTTAAGGCCTCACATTTGATGAGGTGTTTTCTGAGAACGATGAAAGGATCAAGACCAGGAACTGGAATGCGTACGAGATGAAGAACAGGCAGGAGTAGGTCAGGTTAGAATCGTCCTAAGGAAGAAAAGAATACAGAGAGCAAATGAGTCTTTTACTCAAGTTAAATCTCTCTCTCTCTACGTTTAGCAATGTGTGGGTATGTGTGAGTGTGTTGTTGTTGTGAAGTGCTGTGGAGTCAGTTCTGACTGATAGCCGATCCTAAATGCAACAGCATGAAACACTACCCGGTCCTGCACCACCCTCACAATTGTTCCCTTTGAGCGGCTCCTTGCAGCCTCGGGGCCAGTCAGCCTCACTGAAGGGCTTTCTCTCCTTCACTAACCCTCCACTTCACGAAGCATGTCTTTTTCTAGGGGCTAGTCTCTCTGGATGGCACCTCCTCCGAAGGGTGAGTCTGTGAGACCATGTCCTGCCTTTTTAGCTTCCAAGGAGCATTCTGGCCGTACTTATTCCAACACGCCTGCGTTTGTTCTTCTGATATAATAAAGCTAAAGTCAGAGCAAATCCCCTCAAAGCAGGTCCACCCTCAAGCCCACCCTACGTCATGCCACTTGCTCCAATTCAGCAGTTGCCCAGCACTACCGCTTGATGTCACTCTCTCGTTGGTTCTTACCCGTAAGAGTGCCCGGATGAGAGTTTGAAGTTGGAAAGTGCCACCGAGAAGCGAAAGAATCCAGAAGATGGTCAGGAACCAGGAGTTCTTTTGTAGACACCATCGCCTACTGTGCTGGATCAGCAAAACCAGGAGCTGGAGAAACATGCACATCAAGCTCTGAAGACCGGGGTCACTAACCAATACAGAGGGTGATAAGGCTGTTGGAGATCAGACAAAGCGAAATGGGCTGGGGCAGGGGCTGGGAGAGGACCCTCTGGGAACTACTAGGGGCTTCAAAAAGTTCGTGGAGAAATGGAATCGAGAGAGGATAGAATTTGTCCACAAACATTTTAAAACCCTCTCATACTCTGACCAGGCAGAGAACACACAGATGTCGAATTGCAGGTTTCCTCCCTGATACCATCGATGGCCCCTTTCAGTGGCCCCATGCTCCTCTGGGACCTTGGAGGATCACCGTCTGCATTCTCATGGAATTAGCTTGGGAGCCAGAATGAAAGCCTTTTGAAGACCCCAGGAAATGAGTTTCGGGCACTCTCCTTGTTGAGTAGAAGAGGCAGATTCTGATGGACAGGTGCCCTGGCTTTAAAACAGTACCAGACTTGTTGCTGTGTCATTAGCCATCAAGGAAGCTCTGATTCATTTGACCCCACATGGGCAGGGTTTCTCAAGACCGTGGCCGCTTAGAAGAAGACCCCAGATCTGTCCACCGAGGCATCCCAGAGTTTGAACTGCCAACTTTTTTTAAATTAAAAGATCATTTTATTGGGGACTCTTTAGCTCTTACAACAATCCACACATCCATTATATCAAGTATACTTGTACATATGTTGCCATCATTACTTTCTAAACATTCACTTTCTGTTTGAGCCCTTGGTATCAATTCCTCTTTTTCCCCTCCCTTGCTGAACTACCAACCTTTTCTCATTTCCAACTAAGCAATTCAAATTAAAATTTTGCCTCGGATGATCTCTCTTAGATACAGTTAATGAAAAGCCTCAGTAGTGCACTGAAAAGACCAATGCTGTGGTTTGCCTATGTTCCTAGCATAAGTGACCCACTGCCATCAGTCCTTTCTGACTCCTCGTGAGGCTACAGGGCAGAGCAGAACTGCCCCTGTGGTTTTCCAAGGCTGTAGCTCTTCACGGGAGCAGAAAGCCTTGTTTTTCTCTAGAGGAGCAGCTGGTAGGCTCGAACTGTTAACCTTGCGGTTAGCAGGCTAATATATAAGCTTCTACACCAACAGGGCATTTTGTGCTCTTGTGCCTGGCATCTCTATAAGTTGGAACGGACGCGAGGGCACCTGAACCAGCATCTATCAACTCTCCCACCAGGGCAGATTTCAGGCTCTAAATGGTGTCACGAAACCCAGCGTTGGGAAGAGATGTGTGAGCTGGCTCCGGAACACACTCCCTCGACCCCTCGTTGCTTGTTCTGCACAGCAATAGCAAATAAAACCTGGTTCCAAGTCAAGGCAGGTAAGGTTCTTCCATGAAGAGGAGAGGGTAGAGCCTGGGTTGAGCACCTGTTACTCAGTCCCAGCTGACTACAGCCCTGTGGGAATGTAGACTCATGGATGCCAGATGTTCTGATTTCTCAAAAATGGTTGGAAATCAAGATTTCGATGTGCTATTTTCTTCTTTTAAAATAAGGGCACTGAATTAAACTTTTGTTTAATAAAACCTTTATAAATAAGAGACCAACCCATTGCCCTGAAATCGATTCTGACTCATGGTGACCCTGTCTAGGGTTTCAGAGGCTGTACGTCTTTATGGGAGCAGAAAGTTTCACCTTTCTCTTGCAGAGTGACTGGTGGGTTTGAACCACTGACATTGTGGTGAACAGTCTAACACTTACCTGACAGGCCCGCCATTGTTCCTACAAATACTGTGCAGGGCCTACATGTCTACAGGAAAGATAGCAGTTTCTGGCACAGGATTTAAAGCAACAATTTTAGACTCCACTGACTAGAAACACCAATTAGAAATCACCATTAAAAATCATATTTATAGTATTTAAAACTTATTTTGCATCAAGAAACCTAGATCTGATCTATGATCCTTATACAGTAAAATACAAGGACATAAGAGATACATCTTATTCTTTAAAACTGATACTTAATCCTAGGGGAAAAGGTTATAAATTAATGTTCAAAAGAGGTTGAAGAGTTATAATTTGTAGGCTTAGCTTCACCCCCTTCTAACCTAGCTTTGTCTTTTCACAGTGCCCTCAAAAGACAGGAAAGACATAAGAGTAGAGCAGAATGAACAATGGGTCAGTTATTGAAAGAGTTTACCTTAACCTCAGCTCTATCACCAACTAATGATAAGCCTAAGGCAAGTCACTTAGCCTTTGCTTCAGGTTCTAAATGGATGATGTAAGACTGTATTAGATGGTTCTTTCGGCTTTTCAAAAATGAATTTGGCCTTAATTTCATGCCCAAAGAGTACTTTTCAGCTGGAAGATTCCAGGTAGAGAGAAGGTAAACAGGCCGAAAGTGGTGAGAGAGGTCTTACCCATGTAGCCAGGTAGAGACTTGGATTGGTGTATCTTATGGCAGGGACTGTGGCTTGTCCAGAATCTTCTGTGAGTACAAAGGCCAGCTCTATGGCTGCTAGAATTAGAAGAAATCCAACAAGCACCTGAGAAGGGGAGGAAAAAAACACTATTAGAACCATAAGTACCATCAATGAAAAATTAGGGACAAACTTGAGTGCCCTAAGACAGTACATAATGAAAAAAAATTCACACTTCATACGCTAAGCAGAAGACTGGGACTTTCTAAAAACACAACATTATGTACATCAAAAGGTTTCATTAAAAGAGTCAAAAGAAAACCCAAAGATTTGGGGGGAAATAGTTAACATTAATGTATCGGATCTAGAGCTAATTTCAAAAATCGATAGAAAATGACAACATCTTAATAAGAAAAACACAAGTAACTCAATCAAAAAGTGGGCACAAGACATGACTAGACAATTTGTTAAAGATGACATCCAGGCAACCAACAATCCTATGAAGAAATGCTCACGTTCACTAGCTATAAGAGAAATGCAACTTCAAGTGATGATGAGACACCATCTCACACCAACACTCATAGCAATGAAAAAAAACGGCAAATAATAAATGCTGAAGATGATGTGGAGACATCAGAATGCTCATACATTGCTGGTGGGGTTGAAGAATTGTACATCACTAGGGAAAACAGTAGGGCGTGTCCTTAAACAAATGCAAATAGGAATACGTTACGATCCTGCCATCTCCCTACTTGGTATATACCCGAAAGAAATAAAGAAGAGAGCACAAACAGATATAGGCACATCCATGTGTATCGCAGCACTTTCCGTAACAGCAAAAAGATGGAAACAATAAAAAACCCCGTCTGTGGAGCAATGGATACATAAAGTCTGGTACATACACACAATGGGATACTCGGTGTCCCCAGAACAAGGGTGAAAGCAAGAAACACCGCCTGACCTGGACGGACCTGGAACCCATTATACTGAGTGAAGTTAGTCCCTCCCCAAAGGACAGCTATTGTATGGGTACACTAATTAAATCTTAGAGACGAATTCCCAAATAGGTAGAAAGTCTCCCTATGGCCATGAACCATCCATCCCCTGCCTTATGTGAGCTTTATAAGAGCCACCTCAAAGAGGAGGCCTCACCTTGGCTGGGTGAACTCCATCAAGAAGGAGGGAAAGGGAGAAGAACATTCGCTTGATGCTGGGCAACACTGAGACAAGTCAACCGTCCCTCCACGGGAAGGAGAGGAGAACCTTACTGGAAAACCAAGTGAAGACCAGGGGAGGGGAGCGTCTACTTTCCAGAGAAGGCACTGATGTTCCTGTTGGTGGGTATGGTGGGAAAATGGGGGAGGGGGGCAACCTCACGTCTGAAAGGGATGCTAAAACAATAATTGTAGGGAACCTAAGGGGAGACTAAGCCCCATTCTATGTCCTGAGTAGACACTACAAATAGGTTTCTACCCAACCCTGGGGGAACCACACCACGGACTAAGCACTATGACAACTTTAGACACTGGCCTTACAAGCAACACAACATCTCCCGCTAAGGGCCACACCAGGAGCACTCAACCTGGAAGCCCAACTGAATGAACTGGGCCCTATCTCAAATCTGTACCTGATGGGAGAGGAAGCAAAGGATGGTCACCCCAAGTGTGCAAATGGTAGTCATTGGACCTTGGGTGGGACCCCTGGCTTAGTGGGTGTCCAATGAAAGGGGACCCAGACCACCATAGGCTCAGTACTCCAAATCAAAGCGGTAAGGAGAAACCACCTCACACTGACAATGACAGCCCACTTCAAAAACAACAACAAAAATCTCCCCAGAGACCAGAGGGTATGGAGAGAGTGAAACCCTCCTACACGACATGCAATCACTGTAGAAAGTCATGTGACGCTACTTCAAACAACCGGGAAGAGAAATTCCCTACCATCCAGTCATCTTCCTAAGTAAGCAAGAGCCATAGCACCTGCAGACAAAGGCACACCTGTGTTCATTTCAGCACTGTTCACAACAGCAAGAAAATCGAAACAACCCAAATGGGCATCAGTAGAAGATCGGATAGAGAAACCTTGGTACACACACACATGACGGAACACTAGGCACCGCAAAAAACAAACAAAAACTAAAACCACAAAGCACCCCCTGGCCTGAATGGACATGGAAATCTTTACAATGAGTGATATCAGCCAATCACGAGTAGACAAATACTGCATGAGACCTCTACTATAAGGTGGGGGTGGGGAAACAACACATGACAAAGACCTTCAAGGCAAAGTCTTTGGAGGTTGTCCAGGGGGCAGAGTACCCAGACTAACACACTTGCCTACAGTTCAGGACAGGTAAGGAAAAAAATCGAGTGGGAAGCAGCAGAGAGTGAATGCATGCAATGGCTATACAAGCTCCTCCGGAGTTAATTAGGGCCGGCAGTTAAGGGGCTCCTCTCCTCGTTCTCCTGCCCATTCGTCTCTCTACTCAGGCAAGTCACTGTACCCACGGATCCTTCTCTCCTTCACAGGGAGATCTTCTGGACTTAATGAAAGACCAATGGATACGGAAAACAGAACCGATGTGATGCGGCCTGGTTCAAAGGTCACACATGGTGCAGAGTTCACGTTGTATGATTCATTGTCACCCCATGTCAGTGCCAACGGAATTGCCCTCTCCTGAGTCATTAGGTCTGTGGCAGGGCAAGTTTTTCAAGGTTGGCTTTTCAAAGGCTGAAAAGACCGTTTGACCGATCAGCTCCTTTTTTTCACTGGAAGCCAACATCCACAGAGAGTCACTTTCCTCCGTGCAAGCAACCCCGGTGACATGGTGGTTTGGTAGTAGGCTGCTCTCTGAAAGGTCAGCAGTTCAAACCCACCAGGCTCTGAGGGAGAAAGACAGGGCTGTCTGCTCCCATAAAGAGCGACGGTCTCAGAGTCTCCCAGGGGCGGTTTGACCCTGTCCGACGGGGTCGCTATGAGTTGGCATTGACTCAATGGCAGTGAGTGTGACTCTTATTGCAGCTTCCAGGATGGGTTACAACTCAATGCAAACAAGGCCAAAATCCTCACAAATGGACCGTAATCATGGTCAACAGAGAAAAGACTGCCATTGCCAGCCTTTCGTCTTGCTTGGATCCAAACACCAATGCTCATGGACACAGCGGTCAAGAGATCATGCGACGCATCACACTGGGGAAAACGTCTGCACAAGACCTCCTCAAGGAGTTGGAAAGCAAGGATATTACTTTAAGGGCAAAGGTGGGCTGGATCCAAGCCACGGAATTTTCAATCCTCTCCGAGCTATGGTATTTCAATGGCCTCCCCAGCACGTGAAAGTGGGACACTGAATAAGGAAGACCTAACAAGCATGGACTGCCGAAAGAAACAGTTGCCTGGGAAGGAGTACACCCAGAATGCTCCCTCATGGCAAGGATAGTGAGACGTCACCTCACATACGTTGGACTTATCAGGAGAAACTGGTCCCTGGAGAAGGACATCGTGTTTGGGAAAGTAGAGGGCCAGTGAAAACAGAGGAAGACTTTGGACAAGATGATGGACACAGGGGCTGCACTGATGGGCTCAAACGTAAGAACAATTGCCAGGAGGGCTCAGGACCAGGCAGTGTTTTCCTCTCTTGTAATAAGGCTGCTATCAGTCAGAACCAACCCAATGGCATGGGTGCTAGTCTGGGGACTTTAGAGAAACAAATCCACAGAAACTCATATGTATAAAAGAGTTTTATGTAAAGGTTAAGGGCACATCAAGAAAACATCCCAACCCAGTGCTGCCCAAGCCCACAAGTCCAACATTAACTCATATGTCCAACACTAATCCACACAGTCCTCCTCCATCTCACAAAACAGATGCAATGATGCCGACTGCAGGAGGAAAGCCGGATCAGTGAGTGTGTAAGCATCTCAGTGCTGGCAGGGTCTCCACACAGCTGCCCCAGCACCCAGGGCTGCATCTGAGTAGGTCCATGTGGCTTCTCCTCAGGTATGTCTCACAGGAAATGAGCCTTACCAGCTAAAGCAGGGAACTGGCTAAGGCAGCTGCACCCTGGTCGGACCATCAGAAAGCAAGGGACCTGAGAACTCACTGAGCCATTTATCCCTCCGCCCTTCAGTTAACCCCGCATGTGTTTGTTGACCAGGTTGGCACAATAAACTAACTACCTCAACATTTAACCACATTCTTCTGCTGAGGAGCTCTGGTGGGATCATGAGGTTGGTGGTTAGACTCTACCAGCTGCTGCATGTTAGAAAGATGAGGGGTCATTTCCATACAGATTGACAGTCTCCAACGTCTTGGGGAGCAGTCTGAGAGGGTGGTTGTGTGTTGGGTCCACTGAACGGCAGTGGGTTGGGTTGGGTTTTGGTGTTCTGATGCAAAAAGAAAAGTGGCCCCGAGAAAGCGGGTAGAGGGACACTTAGAGCATTCTTCTCCCAGAGACAGCAGCGACTGGGAAAGAGTTCCAGACATAGAGAAGAACACTTTAAAGACTAAGAAAACCCCTCTGTGGTGCACCCAACATTAGAGGTAGGAAATGGTGAGATTACCATACCTGCTTTGCAAGGTAGAGTTTGGTTACAGAAGATTTCTTGGTCCTGGATTTATATATGTGAAGAAGCTGCCATGGGGCCAGTAGCCAAAGGAAGCCCAGGGGGATCCACACCAACACTGTTTGCTCAAAGCAAAGGGGCAGGTCAGCCTCCGGACTATCCAGGTACGAGGCATTCTGGGGGATTGAAAATAAAGGAATATTGGAAACATGCACTTTAAAAGCAAAAACAGGCAAACAACAAAGACCATCCCCCAACATCCTCCAACTGCTATGGGACAAGTTTACCTCCGATCCATATCCACCTCTAGTTCTACTCCCTCAGCGATCTTATTATCCGAATCCCCTCCCTGATTGCGGTGGGCGGCTTTTCTAGTCAATCTAAGCTGGAAAAACCTGATTCCCGGACTTGACTCCGGAGTTTTCTGTGAGCCTGAGTACATTTCACCACTGCATTTGCCAAGCGGTCAGGAGCTGATGAACCATTCCTCAGTCCAAAGGGAGGAAGGGTTGTCTGTACTGGTCGACCTCACCAGCCCCCGTTCAAATATGTCGGCTCCAGATAGACTGAAGACTTGGCACACTATGAAATGTAGTCTCTTACAGCCAGGGGGCAGATTACCCAACAAGCAGGATAAATACGGCCTTGGTTGTGCTTACTTATTAATCTGTGGTAAATTTCTGCGTACTCTGACCCAAGCAGGGATTGCAACTTTGAAAAGAGGCTTTGATTCTGTAGAAAGGTGGTGTGGGATTGACTGGGAGAGAGAGAGAGAGGCCACCTCCACTTCGCAGAATCTTTGATGTGGTCCCAAACTGAAATTGCTCACTTCAGATTAGTACATAAGCAGAAGAAAGCCTGGATCTACCTTACTCAGAGGGTTACCCCTTCCTGCCCCTTGCCCTGGGACAGTTATATGTAAACCCTAAGGAGGCCTCACCAGCTTGGGTGCAAGCGCAGCAACAACACTGGTGGACAGAGACAGACTGTCTCCGGCTCTTGTCATTTTGCAATCAATGGAAGGGTCTTGTGGGCTGGGGTAGGGGACACCAGCTCTTACATCTAAACCATGCGAGAGTACATTTTTTTCTTCCTATAAATAATTTTTGAAGGGTTCTGTTTGTTCTTGATTATTTTTAAAATGTGATCATGTTTTAGGCGAAAGCGGATGCGGTAAATCCACTCATCGAGCTTCTCTGACACTCCCTGCTGTCACATTTTGGCTTTGGGTAAATATTGACTGTTTGGTCTGGACAGTTGATCATTTAAGGAAGCACATTGCCTAGAGGTGATGTTGTTTATTGTATTAGCCTATGTATTTACCCAGGGCAACAGCAACAAACATTTTTTCCTTGGTATCTTTGCCTTGAGGTCTGTCCCTGCGGTGATCTGGGGTGCTGACTCCAAGAAATCCATTAGACAGAACTCATCGGCTCTAGTTTCTTAGATACGTTGTTCCACTATATTTCCAGCTACTAAGTTATACTACTTTATTAATTTATCATCATACTTTTAAGTACGAGAAGGCTTCAGACACAAATTACTGAATAAAGTTTAAAAGGTCAGAAATATTTTTAAAAGAAGTAGGCATTAAGGGACTTCCGAGGGAAACTGCATATGGACCCATGGTGGCTACTTGGTTTTGCATGGAGCTGCCAGTCATAAGGTCAGAAGTTCGAGTCCACCAGTCACTCTGCAGCCTTTAAAAGATGTAAAGGTTTAGAAACACAAATGGGACAGTTCTTCTCAATCCTCGAGGTCACTATGAGTTTTTATTGAATTACGTAGATGACTGTGGGTTTTTCTTTGGGGTGTGGGAGGCTGTGCGATACATACAGAGACTACACGTTGTAGTGTCCAACAGGGTGATAGAAGAGTGGGAAAGAAAGAAGGGAAATTTAAAGTTACCTATGTGGAAGGTGTGAGGAAGGAGTGTTGAAAATGTAAGACTTCATAAATATTTTGAAGGTCTACATTTTACCTCTTCAAATTATGGCCCAAACACTTCAGACCATATTTTAACCTATAGAAGTCGCTGGATAATTCATGTTAAATGATTCAGAAGTGAGGTTGACTCCAAGCTTCTTAAAAGAAAAAGTCTAGCTTTAAAGCGTTTCTGTGAGCAAGCGGCGAAGCTGTGCCATCTTACAAGACTGGAGCAGATGCTAATTTTAATCAAGGGCTTGGACTCATTTCGAGTTTCAGGACATTTGAATCTGTTTCTTGCCTTTAGCCTATTACCAATAAGTGGATCATGACTCGTGGCAACCCTGTAAGGCTGAGCGGAGCGCCTGTGGGTTTCAGAGGAGGTACCTCTTAGTAGGAGCAGAAAATCGCATCTCTCTCTCACAGAGCAACTGGTGAGCTGAATAGCTGCTCTTGTGGCTTGCAGTCAAACGCATAACCGCTACTCGGTCAGGGCTCCTTACTGATTGCACAGTCATTTCTAGCCCCCTTCTTAAGCTAGCAAATTGGAACTGCCTGCTATTCAGTTCCTAATAAAGGTGAAGTGATACTTGGGAGAACTCGTAGCTCATGTAATTTGCACTGTTCAAATATATCTGGGCTGAAAGGACACCGTGTGAAGTACAACTTGACCTAAGTGCTTCGTAAAACACAAACTAAATAAATCCAGTGTACACTTCCTCTACCTCAGGCTAGCTAACACTACATTAAAAGATCCTGATTTTTGTTCAGTGGCAAGCAGAGTGAAGAGCACTATATGGTATATGTTCTGGATCTCAAGAACTAGAATGATCAGGGGACAACTGGTGCCATATTTTGAACCAGCAGGTCTACCATTTGAGGTACCAAAATATGTGTTGGCCAGTGTTATTTGGCGGAAAGGTGGCGCCGGGGAGCTGCTTCCGTTCCAAGTTCGAAGTGTAACTTAGGATGGCGGTCTCAGGAGTTCCTCTGGTCCTGATTGGTCCCATAGGTCTGGCCTTTTCTGAGAATCTGAGCTTTTTTCTCCCGTTCTAGCTGGGTCTTCTACTACGGGCCTGGTCAGAATGATAGCCATGTCTTCTGGTCTCGGGCTGTAAGAGGCCATGGTGGCTCACAGAGGCTAGTTTCTTCTTTGACCCTTGCTTTTCTGCATTCTCTTGTGTTCCAAGAGAAGCTAACAATGGTAGCTTTTAAGATATCAGATACCATACCCATCTAAGACGTAGAACATTTTCTTTTTTGAATTATATTAGGCAAGTAGACTGATTTGGGCAATGAGATTATGACTCTGAGCTCTTAAAAAGCCAGTAAACCAATCCTGTGAAGTGTCTGGTGAGGTCTAGGAGGCTTCTGTCATTTTTTGGCACAACTGTGTGGACAGAATCTAAAGAAAAGATTGAGGGGCCATGACCAGGGAGTTCTGACAGATAATTCCTCGAGAGCTTTCTCAGTCATCGGGCCAATGAGGCCCTGTCTTCCTATGATAGCTAAGTCCTGCCCATCAGGCTTTGGGGCCCAAGTCCTGCCTGAGATGAGACGTGCTGCTCAGATATTTTGCCATCTCATCCTGGCTCCTCTCAGAGAACAAACCGAAAAAACAACTTCAGGGAGCCATGTGAATCTCTTTCATTGCCCAAATTGCCGTTAGTCTTCAAGGGAAATGAAGCAGATGCATTTCAAAGAAGAGTCTTCTCAAATCTTTTTGTCTCTTGCCCTCAAAAGGACCTTAGTGAGAAAAGAATATCTTTCAAGCAACTAATGAATCGATGGTAGTATTCATCAGAACCTTTTCGAATGCTGTCTTGTTGAAAGTCCACCTTCTGAGGATCCAGACTCCTCTGAGGGAGGTTTCTACAGAGAGAGACATCGGAGACCTGTTGGGCAAGCCACTTTCCAATATTGTGTTGCATCTTTGCCACTGTTCAACGCTGCCCCATTCCTCTTCAACCTCTTCCTCTGCGACCGATCAGCTAGACATGCCCCCGATGAAATCCGTTTTACTGAGAAATGATGGCCACTGACGGACTTCTCTTATTGCTTTACCCCTGGATCTCAGTGTTATCCCTTCAATAGGGGGTTCCACTTGCAGCAGCTGGAGGGCTTGTTCAAACGCAGGTGTGTAGGACCACTTCTGGAGTTTCTGATGCCGTCCATTTGGATGTGCCGGAGACTTTGAATTTCTACGAAGTCTCCAGGTGAGGCTTCCAGACCAAGAAGGACTGTACTATGTACAGAGAACTGCTGTGTCATACTCAGCTTTCTATAATTATTTTGAAGGTGATCTTTTCTTTTACCTTTGATTTCCCCATCTTTTCTGGTTCCATCACTTCATCCCTCTTTGTTCTCCCTCCCCTGCCCAACTAGCTCCTACTTTGTACCCAACCATCCTTGGGATTAGTTGGCTTAAAAGCACCACAGTGTCACCTGCTTTCCCTGCCTGAAACTGGGACACCACCACCCCTTTTCTCCTTGTAGCCATTGCTAAATAAACATAGTTGTTTTCATGACCGCCCTTTCCCTCCTTCCTACCATCCAAGCTATTTCCACCCAGAATTCTTGAAACTATTCTCTGGATGCGTGGTTCTCAACGTTGCGCAGTGGCATCACATAACCACTGCCACCGAGTCTGCTCTGCGTCACCTGTGTTAAGGAGGCTTAGCAGAGCATGGAAGGCATGGCCGGAACCCACCCCTGATTACGTAAATCAGAATCTCTGTTCTAAATTCCAAAACAATGGCTTATCAAACCTTAACCTTCAGAAGCACCCCAAAACACTTACATTATTTTACTAATCACCCCCAAGTGATCCTGATTCCAGGACTTTGCCAACCACACCTTGTGAAACATTGGTCAGTCCCGACTGAAAAACACAAACTCACTGCCATCAAGTCGTTTGGGGCTCAGAGGGACCCCAGAGGTCAGGGTAGAGCGGCCCCTGTGGTTTCCAAGACTGTGACTCTCTGTCTTTCTCCCAGGTCCTTTCTCCTTGTCCACCCCCTAGCCCTTTGTCACTGTTCTTTGGTCTTTCTGCTTCGAGCGTCTCTGCTTTTGATGAAAGCAGGAGACTGCTGTTCGGATTCACCTTCGCAATACACGGCTTTTCCTTCAGTGGTGTCTCTCTGAAAACCAGTTCTGTCCAATTCCAATGGTTCAAAAATGTTCTTAGTACTCATGCTGGCCAACTTTGTATCCTTGTCCTCAATTTCTAGTAGTGGCACATTAAGCCACTAACTGTAAGGTCAGCAGTTCGAAAACACCAGCTGCACTGCAAGAGAAAGATGAGGCTTTCTCTGCACACCCACCAAGAGTTACAGTCTCAGGAAGCCACAGGGGCAATTCTACCCTGTCCTGTAGGGTCACTATGATATGGAATTAACTCGATGGCAGTGATCTGCTTCTTCTTCTTTTTTTTTAAATCATTTAATTGCCAGCTTGATAATTTCTCTGGCGTATATCATGTCAATAGCGTCATCTCTCAACAACATTTGATGGCGGACCCTCATCTCTCTCTCCAACCCACACTCAACACGGATGATCTGGGCGATCTTTTTTCCTATTTTTCTGAGGAAAAAGACAATTTTGCAACCAACAAGTCCTAGAAAAGAATCTGGGATACAATAAATACTTTTTAGAGAGTAACTATATTACCCCTCCCGGGTCAGATGCCATCCCTTAGCCTTACTGAAGAAACCGGTCAACGACAGACAAAGCCGAGCTTTGCACCCAGTGCACCTCTGTTTGTCTGGCTCTCCTTGCTCACTCTCGGCAGCCCCACGACCTATTCTGAGGAGAATCAGCAGGGAAAGGACATGCAAGTTCTCACCCAGAAGGTGGAGTTGCAGAATGCTTCCAGCATGGTTCCTGAAGCCCTTCTGGAAGGATGGTGCTTCCAGAACTGCGCTGTTTCTTGTTCACTCTTATCCTCGGGGAAGGTAGGACGTGAGTAGCAACGTGCCCTCAGCTGGTCAGCTACTCTGATGTTAAATTCAAGTCAGGCTTCCTGACCTTTCATCTCAACCATTTAATTGTTAACCATCAACCCCGCCCCGATGCGTATTTACATTATCCCCTGTGACTGGACACGTGGCGGAGAAGCCTCCGAGACAGGTAAATAACCAGGTCCCAAAAGGGGTGCTGAAAGATGCCAGCCGAGCTCATTGATAAATCGGAATGGAGGAGCCTCCCAATCTCCTGAGGGTCAACCATCTAAGAAGAAACGCATCAGCCCAGGGGTACACCCACACACACACACCTGAGTGCTAGCTCACTCAAAGTCTGTAGAGTAGATAGAAATGTAAATAGTCCATACCTCTGGATGTTCAATTAGGAAGAGAGAACCTAAAACAGGATTCACAACAGTGTTGTCACGGCTGCTGTTGTTGTGTTGTGAGAGGCCACCCAGTCGGGTCGGAGTCACAGCGGCCCTCTGCCCAACAGCAAGAAACGCTGCCCGGTCCTGCGCCAGCCTCACAGTCTTTCTTATGTTTGAGCCCAGCGAGGGAGCCAGTGTCCTTCCACCTTGTCAACAACAACGGAAAAGTCTTCCTCTGCTTTCCCTGTCCTCCCCAGGGACTAGTCTCTCCTGACAAGTCCAAACCACAGGAGGTGTAGTCCAGCCATCCTTGCCACTAAAGAGCACTCCGTGTGTGCTTCTTCCCAGGCGGATCTGTTTGTTCTTGTTGGCAGCCGGTGGTACATCTGATATTCTTTGCCAGCACCGTAACTCAACTGCCTAGATTCTTCTTGGGTCTTCCTGTGCTGCTCTGCAGGCAGGTTTTGTTTTGGTGTCTGTTCTTTGGGCAGTCTAAGATCAAACAAGACAAAACAAACGCACTGCCATAGAGCTGCTACTGACTCATAACGGCTCTACAGGACAGGGTCGAACTGTCCTGGTGGGTTTCCGAGACTGTAACCCGTCGCAGGAGCAGAAAGCCTCTTCTTTCTCCCTGGAGCTTTTCAAGCTCCAGTCTTGTGGTTAGCAGCCCACCAAGGAACCACTGCGCAACCCAGCCTCCCCTAGAGTCCTCCCAACATTCTTCACCAACCCCGTAATTCAAATGCACCAGTTCTTCTGCTCTTCCTTCCTCCTTGTCTGACTTCACACACATATGAAACAATGGAAAATAGCATGTCTTTAGGGCAAATGCACCAAGACTTAAAGTGGTCGTGTGCTGCAGGTTTCCCCAATACAGCATCTCAGTTATCTCTTGACTGCTGCTTCCATAACATTGACTGTGGATCTGTTAGGTAGCTAGCATGGGGACTGAGGCACCCATTGCGCATGCTCAGAGGTTCGAGCTTCTGGCCAGGAAGGAGTGGTACACCTAGGTGGGCGTTACACCTGGACTGGCCCATCTAAGACAGGTGAATTTGATTCAGCCCATGGAGTCGTCCGGTATTGTTGACCATGCCCCCAACGGGGCCCCTGAAAAGGTTGTACTCCAGGCTCTTTCCCAGCGGCTGCTACATGATGTAACACAGCTGGACTGTAGTCCCCAGCGGCCAGGCTGCAGTCCCGCAACTATGCCGCGGACTCGACTGGCTTGTGGTCTATTTACTGGAGAGCCTGGAACTGCTTGTGTTCTCTATAAACTCTCTGGGATCACAAACCAAGCTTCGGCATGAATTCTTTCTCATGCAGAGCCAAGAGCCGAGCTATATCTCTCCCCCGAGAGATCTAACATACTTTGGTGCCAAGTGACTCAGATATCTAAGTGATGCTGCTTCCAGCACTTTTAGGGACAGCTCTTAATAGAGCTCCGCAGCCATGATGTTCCAGCCAGAAATTCCAATTTCTCTAAAGGTTCCCCGAACTGCCAGGTAGACGTCCCTTCCTGTCAGAGATTTGAGAGTCTGCTCCTGCCGGCAGGGTCTTTGAAGGTCATGGGGCCACACCACGCAGTGGCCCTCCTAGTTTGTGGTCTAGAAAACGGTCAGACCTAATGTTGGCTGCAGCGACTGGTCTTTGACCCCCTCCCTCAGGCAGGGGCACTTGCCTGAGGCCTCAGATTCATAGCACCCCAGACGTGCTCACTGAAGCTGCGGTTATTGACCGTGAGGCATCAAGCGCTCAACAGCCTCCTTGTTTTGTGTTTTCTAGATGGGACTTACCAGCTCGATACCCAGGAATTGCCCCCTTGGATGTATCCTGTCCAATTGGGATAGATTTGATCCGGAGAGGCTGGACAAACAGAAGCTGATTTCGCTTTGCAACTCTATTTGGCCACAGTATCTTTTAGAAAAAGGAGAATCGTGGCCAGCCAATGGTACGCTTTCCCTTCCAACCCTGATCCAGCTAGAGCATTTTTGTGGAATGATGGGGACGTGAGCGGAGCTCCCGTATGTTAGAGCATTTTTCCTTTTGAGGAGCAGGAGAGACCTTCATTCCCAGTGCACCCAGGACCCCCTCCTAAGGGACCCTGGATTTAGGGGCAACTATTCCCCCAGCCCTGAAACAGCCCTGAACATTCTACCCATAGTAGAGGCAGCAGGGGAATTTGGTCCCCAGGCAAATTACAAGTCTTTTACTCTAATTGAATTCAAATAAATTAAAAATGACTTGGGCAGTTACTCTAACAAACCTGAACAGTACATAGAACACTTCCGGCACCTCACCCTAGCCCATGATTTAACCTGGAAGGATGTAATGGTCATAGTGGGACAGATTATGACAGACTTTGAGAAAGATGAGTGCTCAAAGGTGCTAGGAAGTTTGCAGAGGAGTTACATGTGATGAATGATATGTACTCCGTAGGGGAAACTGCTGAACCTATAACTGACTCTGCTTGGAATCATAATGAGCCTCAGGACAAGTGGGCATGGGAACATTTCCTGGTGTGCATCACAAGTGGACTAAATTTAGTAGGCAAAAGACCATTAATTATGCCAAAATGACAGTGATTCACCAGGGATCTACAGAATCTCCTGTAAGCTTTTTAGAGCAGCTAAAGGAGGCCCTGAAGAATCATACTGCTATAGATATAGAATCCTGTGAGGGGCAGTCTTAATCAGGGACAAGTTTCTCACATAGGCTGCACCAGACATTCACAAGAACCTCCAAAAACTAGTGCAGAAACCTGAAGAAACTATCCTAGAGGAGATGGTTGCTTGTACTAATATGACCTTTCACAATAGGGAGCAGGAAGGGGAGGTTCGAGCCTGGGAGAAGGAGAGAAGGAAGGACGTCCAGCAGGCCCAGGTATTGGCTGCACTTAATAACCGACACCTGTCGAGTGCCTCACAGGTTTCTCAGACCTTTGAACCAGGTGCTACATTTGCTGGTGACCAGGTCATTGGGCTAGGAACTGCCCTAACCAGAACAAGCCTCCTCAAACACCATGTTTCCATTGTAAGCAGACCAGCCACTGGGCTGGCCTCTGTCCTAAGGCCAAAAACCTGGAGGAGGGGCGCCCCCAGGCCAACGTGCAGCTGATGACAGAGGAGGATTGAAGGCGCCCGGTCCAGAAGGCCCAGCAGCACAAGATCGCTGTTACTGGTCTGGAGCCTAGGGTGAGCATTGACGTGGCAGGTAGGTCAGTAAATTTCCTTTTAGATACTGGGGCCACCTATTCTGTCCTTACTTCCTTCCCCAGACTCCTGGCACCCCGCACCTGCTCCATCCTGGGAGTGTCATGAAAACCTGTAGTTAAACATTTTACTGAACTCCTCAGATGCCCTTGGAATAACTTCTATTTTTCTTATAGCTTCCTAGTACTCCCTGAATGTCCACCTCCTCTCCTAGGCCAAGATATACGTCCAAGCTACACACCTGCACAGTCTTTGGGCCTCATCCTTGTCCCTCTACAGCTTTCCAAATGTTCCTCACAGTGGAGGACCCACAGATTCCCCCACAGGAACTGTGGGAATAAGCCATAACCCCTGAAGTTTTAGACACAAGAGTCCCCGGCAAAGCTAAGTATGCTACCCCTGTAAAGATTTTCCTAAAAGATCCTACCCAGTTTCCCCATCAGCGATGGTTTCCTTTGAGACCTGAAGCCATCAAAGGATTACAGCCCCTTATTAGTAAGTTCCTCCAACATGGACTTTTGGTACCTGTTAACTCCCCCTGTAACACCCCCATATTACCAGTTAAAAAGAAAGACGGGTCTTATCGGCTGGTCCAAGACCTCAGGATAATCAATGAAGCAGTGATCTCACTGCACCCAGTAGTGCCAAACCCCTGTACCCTCCTAGGGGAAATTGTGAATGCTTTCTACCCCATTCCTGTGTTTACAGTGAACCAACACTCATGCCTGTTAGCCCTAAGATTTCTGTTTATTTCCTGTGACACTAACCTAACTCCAAGGGCACTGCCACCCCACAGTCTTACCCTTGGCTCGCTTAAATTGCTCACCTGTTTGTCTGTTTGCTTGTTTTTCCAGAAGTTCTCAGGTTACCAAGGCCCTGAACCAAGTGTGCCAGCTTCAGGACCACCAACTCCTGGACCACCTCAACTTCATCTATCATGGGCTCTGAGTGGACAACCCTTCCCATGGAGTAGGAAAGGTGTGGACCCAAATCCCCACTTCTCCCCTTTTGTCAGCAGGAAATAGCTAGAGTTGTCGTTGCTCAGTACCCCCAAAGATTTGGGTCCATAGCTCTTCAGGGAGGAAATGTTAGGTAGCTAGCATAGGGACGGGGTGTCCATTATGCATGCTCAGAGGCTTGAGCTTCTGGCTAGGAAGGGGTGGTATACCTAGGTGGGCGGGGCGTTCCACTTGGATTGGCCCATCTAAGCCAGGTGAATTTGATTCAGCCAATGGGGCCGACCAGTATTGTTGACCATGCCCCCCAACGGGGCGCCTGAAAAGGCAGAGGTTTTGCTCTGGTGCCCTCTTTCCCAGCAGCTGCTACATGATGTGGCACAGTCAGCCTGCAGTCCAGAGCGGCCAGGCCACAATCCGGCAACTGTGCCACAGACTCTGTCTGACTTGTGTTCCGTTTACTGCAGAACC